TTGTACTTAGGTTGGACCGCAGGGAACAAGATGCATATTTTTATTTATTTGTTGCCCTTCTCCTGGCCTCTCAATATTTGTGTGTATCAATAATTTAATTTTCTGCCCAGAAAACATTATATTTCTTGTAGTGTGATGTGTATGATGTCATGAAGATGAAGTGTAGACCGGTATCTTGGGCCAAAGTAGCAAATGTGTCACATTTGTGTCACAGTGCTATGAGAAAGTGTGGCACACGTGTGTGCCATGTGTGGTATGTGTGAGCAGTGATCCTTGTGTCCCTTTGGGGTTTATGACATTTTTATGTGGCACAGTTGGGTGGAAACACAACAATAGGCCTCTTGGTATGTGTAGTTCCAGTGTGCGTTTAAGTTCTGAGCCTTGTTCAGCAAGGAGGATTGAACTTGTACCGCTGCGAGGGTGGCTTCAGATGCATCTGAGACATCTCAAATGCATCTGCCGCTTGTATACGGAGCCGCTCCGAGGATACGGTACATGTTTTCCTTGGTACGGGTCCAAAGTACCGAGGTTTACGAGGTGATTGACCTTGTGATAATGTAATTGTCTTGTTCAGTCGATCTCTAGTAACTTTCATTCCTAACATATATTTATAATCTACATCTTCATCCATTTGAAATCTTTCAGTTATTGCTTTCTTGAATCTTCCAAAGTCATCAGTTGTGATCGTCATGTCATCTACGTGTACGTGAACATAGCACTTCCATTTCGGATCTGTTGAGATGAATAAACTTGGATCTGACGTCGATGGCATGAGAGAAATAGTTTTAAAAAATGCTTTGAGGCAATCATACCACACCTTTGGTGCTTGTTTCAAACCGTATAATGCTTGATTCAATTTCAACACAGACGACATAGTAGCACCTGCGATTTCCAAACCTTTTGGAATTCTGATAAAAATAACTTCTTCCGGTGAACCATTTAAAAACGCTGCAACTGCATCCATCTGATGTACTTCAAGATCGTGAACAGCTTCCATTGTGTTTAGAGTTCTCAGTGTTGCCAATCTTCCAGTCGGTGCGAAAGTCTCATTATAATCTTCTCCGTACTCTTGAGAAAAACCTTGAGCACACAATCTAGCTTTAAACTTAATCAATTCACCGTCTCCTCCCATCTTTCTCTTGAACACCCAAGTCGTACCAATTGCATTTTTACCCTTTGGCAACTCACATAGATCCCAAACATGTCTCCTGTCCATGTTCGCTAACTCATTGTCTATAGCTTTTCGCCAATCAAAAGAGTTGTTGGATTTTAAAGCTTGTAAGTACGTTTTAGGATCCATTTCAACTTGCGCAACACCAGCTGTTACTTGAGGAAACAGTTGATGAGCTGTCAGATATCGACTTGCTTTTGCCAATTGCCTCTGATGACACCTTTTCAATCGTCTTGCTTCATGAGATCGATGCCTTTTTGCATCCGGCGGTAAAATATTGGCCGTGTCGATTTCACTTGAGATGTCATTCGGAGCTGGTAGAGATGCTAGCTGCCATTCCCAAGTTTGTTTCTCAGGGACGATTGGTGGAACAATTTCGGGATTTGGCAAGTCAGGAACAGGATGCTCAATCTGCATTGGTACGCCTTGAAAAAGTACGACTTGATCTTCTACAGTCAATGGAATTGTTGGTTGTTCTTCAATAGGAGAGTCGACTGATGTAGATAATTCATCCACAGGTTGTGCAGGCGTATCTGACGTTGATGATGGTAAATGAGGTGTTGGTTGAATCACGGCATCTTCAATCATAGGCGAAGAAATAACATCCTTGAAACTCTCAACAAAATTCAAGCTGTGAGAAGAATTTTGGATGCCAGGGAAGAGATTGATGTCAAAGGTTACATCATGAGAAAAGACCATTTTTCCTGAATCAAGTCTAATGCGATAGTTCTTTACACCTAACTGGTATCCCAAAAGAATACCTTTGACACAAGTGTTGTCAAATTTCTTTCGAAACTGTTTCGGTACCAAAACATACGCACAACATCCGAACGGTTTTAACCTGGATACATCAAACTTCCTACTAAACCAGAGTTCATATGGCGTTTGATCCTCTATCTTTTCCATTGGTGTTATGTTTTCAAGAAAAACCGCCGTAGAGACAGCTTCTCCCCAGAAAGAGTGAGGTAAATGTGACTGTTGAAGGAGATTTCGAGCTTTTTCTGTAGTGGTACGATTTCCATGTTCAGATACGGAGTTTTGTTGTGGAGTATATGGAGCAGATAGATATGATGTTGTTCCATTTTCTTCCAATAACTTATGAAACTCAGAAGACATATACTCACCACCTTGATCATTCACCAAACTTACAATCTTACGATTATTCAGGTTCTCAACTTCATTTTTAAATTTGATAAAACACTCAAAAGTTTCAGATTTTGATTTCATGATGTAAACATATTTGTAATTTGTGAAAGAATCCGTAAGCTTGAAATAGTAAAGGCCACCACCTTCAGATACAACTGAGATTCTACCACTAAGATCACTATGCACAACTTCTAAGGGAAAGGTGGTTTTTGGGAGTTTGCCAGAGTAAGGAAGACGATGGCCTTTAGACAACATACATTCTTCACAAATCCAATTGTCCGGCATTTGCACTCCATACATGACTTTCAATCGTTGAGGATTGGTATGGCCTGATCCCCTGTGTAATACGGTATAGTCACACAAAGTTGTTTTGTTGCAGGTAGAAGAAATTGACGTGCCTAAAGTCGCATCTAGTTCAATAACTCTATTTCTGATTTGACCTCGAAAACCGGTTTGACCATCCTTCATCATCATAATTAAACCTTTGTCGTGAGAGAATTGATAACCATCACTTAAAATACAACCCATGCTAAGCAATGGACTACCAAGCTTAGGAACATGAAAGGCTACAAGTGTAACTTGTTCTCCAAAGGAATTGCAAATGATGTCGCCTTTTCCGGCGATATGAATGACTCCTCCGTCAGCAAGAGAAACATCAGATCGAGTTTCAACGTAGTTCGTGAAGAGAGAGCGGTCAGACACCATGTGGCCAGAGCAAGCACTGTCGAGTAGGATGTTGCTTCCGTTCTTTCTGTAGTGACACGATAAGGCTGATGTTTTGATCATGTCGTCTAAATGCGCTATTTGTAAAACAGCAGTCGTAGCACGAGTGCAGACAGGGAGATTGGCTGGTCGTAAATGTGGAAAGGCAATCCAACATTTATCGTGAACATAACCAGTCACGGCAGGGTTGTGACGTCCATTTGAGCAAGTGGGATATGGATAACGTCTGCCAGATTGACGTGGAGGTGGACGACTGGTGGCCAGAGCAACTGAGTCGTTGTCGTTTCGATGACGTTCGTTGTATTCAACCAGGTGAGCCTCTAGTGTATCCAAGACAACCTTTGTCTTCAAAGGTCGTTTGGTTTCTAAGATAGCCAGAGTCGTTTCCATTGAGTTAGGTAATTTGGCCACGATGGTCTCCGAAATGCATTCGTGAATCTCATCGGTGAAATTAATACCAACAGCATGCATGATCGTTAGATTTGATCTCACATCTTTAATGTATTGAGAGAGAGACTGATAGACGATACGATTGAATGCAGAGTATGCTCTGCCTTTACTGCTGGAAGTTGTTGATTGGAATTTTTCTTTCATCAGGTTCCAGATGTCTAAAGGTTTGTTGATGAATCCTTCAGATTCTACCATGATACGGTATTGTTGACTCATATGAGCAACGCTCGGACCTCATTGTAGCGTGATGGATTACGGTGATATCTCCAAAACGTTACGGTTGACCGTTATCAAGAGCTACCGTTTCGTACCGTTTTGAGGATATCACCGTAGTCAAAAACCGAATTCGTCACGGTGGAACCGTAACGTACCGTACCACAATGATGTTTTTTAGTTAAGATTTTGGTCCATTGCGGTAGATTTTTATGACTACAAAAAAAACAACTCGCGAGAGACTGCATATTACCAAAAGACATGAATGATTTAACCATTGCAATTATATTAACAAAAGACATGAAAAAATAACGAATCGACTTGAAAAAAATGAACAAAAAAGAAACAAGAATGTTGATCCAGATGATGTGTTGAATTCTAATGAACTGGTTTTTCATTCTGCCTAGAATTAGAACTCAGAAAGAGTTCATGGCTTGTCCCAGAAAGTGTTGGCCTTCTGAATCTCACCATTTTTGCAGGAACGTTCTGACGGGAGGTTCTACTACAATCTGGTTGTGGTGATTGTAGTTTAGCCTAAATGGACAAAACGATTCAGTGATCAGTTAAAAGATTCACAAGTTTTCAAGTCTCACACGGACTTTTTTGTCAGCTTTTTGTGGATGAAAATTAGATCCATCCAAGTCTTGTGACTGTCTTCTTCTTTGATATCGATTAGATCTTTTCTGAGAAGTACAATCAGCTTGAGGTATTGTAGATGTTGTTTCAAGTGTAGTGGTACATTGAGTTTGGGAAAGTTCAGGGTTGATTTCAGAAGTTTGAGATCAATGTTGATTAATTTTCTTCTTGGGTGTTTCTGGTTTTGAATTCGATTGAGTTAATCCCCATCATCTGGTCAATTGTAAAAACCTTAAGGAATCACTGATTCTTCATCTGATCCAATTACAGAAGTCAATAATGGAGGAAGTTGACAATTTGTTTGATTACGACCAGGGCGAGGTCCATCTTCATTACCTTGAGGATGTGACAGATTCCCAACGTTGCTTGTCCATTTTCATCTAAATGCCTTCTTCAGATATATTCATGAGGAACGGAAGATAGACGACAATGAGAAAGACTAGATGAAGTAATTATGTAGTGGATTGTTATTCAGGGAAATAGCCCGAATTGCGACATTGAGGAGGTCTCTTGCGTCAAGAAAAGTGACAGAAAAATAACCGCAGTCAACCGTAATCATGACGGGTTTCATTACGGTAACCGTTGCCAGATTTTGGCGTAATTGTAATCAGTACCGTCACCACTTTTTCCTATCACACATAACGGTACGGCGGTACCGTAATGCCAAAAGAGCCACTATGGTACGGTGCGGGCCGTGCCAAACCGTACCGTTGACCGTAGCCATCACGCTGAGGTCCGAGCGTTGATATGAGAGTACATAATACCCGCTGCTTTTTGTTGACGAATTACATAGGCCTCGTAGAGGACTTTTCGTTCATGCGTTACGGGTCGTTCTAGTGGTTCGGTGACTGGAGTTGCGTTAGAGTCGATGAATTCGTCTAGGGTGGCAGACATGAGTGCTCCAGTGATATCTCCTTTCCATTCTGGATAGTTGTCTTCGTCAAGCTTGACGATACGAAGTCTTGTTTTGGAAGATGACATGATGACAAATAAGATTGAGATGAAAAGTAAGACGATGAGTGAATTGTGTGTGTGATGAAAGAACATGGGTCGATCAAAAAGTGTGTGATAGCAAAAAAAAATTTTGTGTGGTGTGACGAGATGATGTGATTGTGATGTTTGTACAGCTAGTGAGCTGGGCTCATAACCAATTACGGTAAGACACCTGTGATTAAGAACAGGTTATCAGCTTTATGAGTAAAGCCAACATACTGATTGAGAGATTAAACAATACCTGTGATTAAGAACAGGTTATCAGCTTTATGAGTAAAGCCAACACACTGATCGAGAGATTAAACAATCTGAGGGAACAAAGATTGTAAAAGAAAAATAAGTTTGAGTTCGATTACTATCTAACTAAAACATCTACTAAACAACTAAGACTTACACCTGTGATTAAGAACAGGTTATCAGCTTTATGAGTAAAGCCAACACACTGATCGAGAGATTAAACAATCTGAGGGAACGAAGATTGTAAAAGAAAAATAAGTTTGAGTTCGATAAAGAGAAAAAGGTTTACAAGATAATAATATGAACCTTATATAAGAACTCAAACTATGACATCATTACCGTTAAATGAGGTAAGCAAAAGAGAAACACTAAGCGCATAACATAACAACGCGTCACTAACTTAATTAGTCGTGCCAGAGGGTTAAGGCAAGAACTACTAAACCTTTTGGCAGCCTTCAACCCTTACCAATACCACAAGGACCGTGGGTAGATATCTGCTACAACTCGATCACTGACCTTCCAGAGTCAAAAGGACACGATAGCATACTCACTGTAGTAGATAGATTCAGCAAGATGGCACATTTTATACCATGCAGGAAAGATATGAAGTCGGAACAGCTGGCAAGGCTAATGGTAGACAATGTATGGAAGCTCCATGGAACTCCTCAAACCATCACGTCAGATAGAGGTAATGTATTTATATCAAAGATGACAAAGGAAATGAATCAGGTTTTAGGCATCAAGACTCAATCTTCAACCGTGTATCACCCTCAAACCGACGGACAGTCTGAAATAACAAACAAATCAGTAGAACAATATATCAGACACTTCACCTCGTACAAGTAAGATGATTGGAAAGACCTTCTAGCTTTAGCTGAGTTCTCTTACAATAATAACCTTCATGTATCTATAGGAATGTCTCCTTTTAAAGCGAATTATGGATTTGATGTCAGCTTCACAGGCACTCCAAGTACAGAACAACAATTACCAGCGGTTCAAGAAAGTTTAATCCAAATCAAAGAAGTACAAGATGAGTTGAAGAATGCGATGAATGAAGCTCAAATGGCAATGAAAGAACAGTACAATAAGAAAGTGATACACACCCTGGACTGGGAAAGTGGAACACAAGTATGGCTCAACAGTAGACATGTCTCCACAACTCAACCAACCGCTAATTTTTCCCATAGATGGCTTGGCCCATATAAAATAATAGAGCGGATATCTACTAACGCTTACAAATTATTACTGCCTCAAGAAATGAAAAACATTCATCCAGTCTTTCACGTCAACCTTCTTAGATTATTCGAACCCAGCAAGATAGAAGGCCAATCCAATGTGCCTTCTCCGCCAGTCAATATTCAAGGTCAAGAAGAATATGAAGTTGAAGAAATTCTGAACAAAAGAAAGTTGAGAGGTAAAATTCAATATTTAATAAGTTGGAAAGGATACGGACCTGATCAAGACTCGTGGGAGCCAGAAGAAAACCTGGACAATGCTCAAGAATTAGTAAATCAATTTAACTTAAAATATCCTTCAGCTGAAAAGAAATATTATAGGACTAGGAGAAAGTGAGAGAGGGGGAAGCTTTTTTCCCAATGGGTTTTTAATGCTAACCTGTGGAAAGATGCCTGACCTGTCAAGAGGAGGTTGAGGCATAAAGGGGGAATGGTGTTATGAGCCTAATAGCGGGTGATGCTTATACTGTAGCTCACCCAACTCATATCTATTAGACTCGAAAGCCCACTTGTACTTTTTGCTTCTTCACGTTGCAATCCTGTTATTAAGCAGCTCATCCCTTTGCTCTTATCCACTAAGCTTGGTCCTGACAGCATCCATGTTGGAAAAAATCAGAAGTATCTGGACAGGGATCTTTCTTGCAATACACTGTCACTGGCCATGATAGAAATGCTGAATCCTGACTTCCAAATCCTACTTTTTGATCATTTTGATTTTGGACAGACATTGTACCAAGCCATTCAACCCAAAACAACTTTCAATCAAGATTTCAAGGTATATCAACTGAAAAATTCACACAAGGGATATGGCAAAACATATGGTTCATCCACTGTAAACATCATTCAACTTCCCCAATTTGGCAGAGGAAAATGATTAATAGTACAGTTTTTCATAAAAGAATCTAATACTGCACACCTGGGCCATTTCACCCACACTACATATGTGCAGCAAGCTAAGTCAATAGTTGTCTATCATGTACATACAGGTCTGCTCAGTTTTTTGCCCATCAGAATAAATAAATCACATGTTATACCACATCACTGTAAACATCATTCAACTTCCCCAATTTGGCAGAGGAAAATGATTAATAGTACAGTTTTTCATAAAAGAATCTAATACTGCACACCTGGGCCATTTCACCCACACTACATATGTGCAGCAAGCTAAGTCAATAGTTGTCTATCATGTACATACAGGTCTGCTCAGTTTTTTGCCCATCAGAATAAATAAATCACATGTTATACCACATGTAACTTTTTCGACTTTGAATTTTTTTTCCCAAAAATTCACTACATATAATTCTGTAGCTGCTCAGGCAATATTGTTGAAGCTATGTCTTAGTAACAGAAAGTGTGTTACATGCAGTTGAGTTGATGAGATTACACCAAAACATTGAGTCAGTGTATGTAGTCAATCTTTTGGAAGCTTTTTTCAATCTGAAAGAAGTTACAGCATGTATTACATATGAATAACTTGTCCTGATGAGCAGATAACTGAGCAGAACTGTATGTACATGATAACCACATATTCACTGAGCCTGCTACACATATGTAGTGTGGGTGTTATGGCTCAGGTGTGGAGTGATAGACCATTTTATGACAAATCATACTCCCAATCATTTTTCCCTGCCCACTTGGGGAACCCGAATAATGTCTGCAGTGATCACATCAATCACAACCTTTGAGCTCAAAAACATCCTACTTCATTGTCTGCAGCAATGAAGAGGGCAAAGACATGGGTGAACACAACCAGCTCACTAGCTACCTGTGTGGTTTTGGTAGAATGAAAGATGTTGCTTATGATATAAATGACCCAAAATCCGTGCTTGACTGGTGAGTGGTATAAATTAGCCTGCCTATCCTCTTGTTTTCCCCTGTCTGAGGGTGGTTTCTTTGCACATCAAAGACATTGTAATTAGGACTATGTGATTGGTGCAATGGCAGGAATACTTATCATGCCATCCTCATCTTGAAAACTGGAGGGGATTTTTGGCACTGCCACAGATGTTTGTGTTTCAAGTCAAGGAAGATGATTGGTTATTGCAATCAAAAGACAGGTGGTATGTTACCAGCTTTGGCTGGCAGAGGGGGTATCTGTAGGCAAAGACTTCATAAAATTTATAGAGGCTTTTAATGTTACTGAGTACAATGAGTTTGTTGGAGACTACAATATATCTAAAGCTCACAGGTAAATTTCACTGTGAACATCATTCAACTTCCCCAAGTTGGAAGAGGAAAATGATCAATAGTACAGTTTGTCATAAAAGGATCCAATACTGCCCACCTGAGTCATAAAACCCACACTACATATGTGTAGCAAGCCAAGTCAATAATGGTCTATCATGTACATACAGGTCTGCTCAGCTTTTTGCCCATCAGAATAGATCAATCAGATGTTATACCATATGTAACTTTTTGACTTCGAAAAAATTGTCCCAAAAAATCACTACATATAATTCTGTAGCTGCTCAGGCAATATTGTTGAAGGTATTTCTTAGTAACAGAAAGGCTGTTACATGCAGTTGAGTTGATGACATTACACCAAAATGTTGAGCCAGTGTATGTAGTCAATCTTTTGGATGCTTTTGTCAATCTGAAAAAAGTTACAGCATGTATTACATATGAATAACTTATCCTGATGAGCAGATAACTGAGCAGAACTGTGTGTACATGATAACTACCTAATCACTGAGCCTGCTACATATATGTAGTGTGGGTGTCATGGCCTAGGTGTGCAGTGATAGATCATTTTATGACAAATCATACTCCCAATCATTTTTTCCTGCCCACTTGGGGAAGTTGAATAATGTTTGCAGTGTTTGGTCAAACTCATTGTTCTCTTGTATCATTTGTGCCCATCCTTTTTTTCCCTTACTATTTATGTTTCTATCAATTGTTATTGTTTTTTCTCTATAATCACTTCTCACTTGTTTGTCTTTAAGAACTTTGATATAATTCTTGTCATTGATATTTGGTCTGTTGTTTCTCTTTTTTTTCTATCCCCATTTCCCTCTGTGCTGGTTTGTCTTCTGGCACTTGTTGGATATCATTCTTGTGAATGCTTGGCCTGTTTATACCATTCTCTTCTTCTTCCACTTTTAATATGAATCTGAAAAATGTCTGGCATTTTTCCTTTGGCAATGTGTTGCAAAGAAAAACAAATCTTGCAAGATGCCCCATTCTTAGATTGAGGATTTTGATGAAGTGGTAAACCAGTGCATTCTGTTGGCAGCACAACAGCTTTGCATATCTTCTGTTGTGCTCATATTTACTGGCCCAAATTCCTGCAGAGCACAGCGGGTCCAACATTCATCAATATTTACAAAAGACAGAATAGCAAGAAGTGGGCAGATGCAATGTGATTTGCACATTGAATTGTTTTTGTGCAACACATTTAACCAACATCATTTGAGATAAATTTCATAATGTTATAATATTCTCAATGTATTACATGTATCCGCTCTATCTCAATGAAAAAGAGGGAACACAACTAGTGATTTTTTGAACCAGGGTGCCATAGTATAACATATGATAGTGCTCCAATGGCCCAAGGAAGGGATTGCATCAGGCCTAATTGTCTGTGTCAATACAGTTCCCATTCTGTTGCATGCATCACAGGTAGCCCAACACTGGTACAGCCTCCAAATCTTGGTTTTCTGCTGTAAGCAACGGAGGTTTCATGCTTTTTATAAGAAGAGAACTGACAAAACATATGCCTTGAATTTCAAAATCTGGAGTGTTCTGGCAATACCTTGCAACTTGCTGATCAATCTATTGATATATGGCTTTGGTCAGGGATGAAGGAAGAATTGGAGAATTGCCTTGGACATTTGATATGAAGGTATCCAAGTCCACCCTGGATTTGAAAAGTAAATGCATCCCTGTTGGCAGTGAAATATTCTCATCTTGGGTTTCAATCTTATTTCAAAAAGTGTGTTCTGATTCCTAATCAAAGGAGTTCTTTTAAAGCAGATGAACCAATGACTGTGATTCAAGCTATGCAGTGTTGTCTCCTAGCCTGGTAATGCAACAGGTATGTTAATTATGCTGCCTTTTCTAGTCAGATCTAGGATATTGTTGTAATGCTCATATTGGAAAATCTTGAAGCTGTTACCCTCCCTTTTGCGGGGAAACCTAGAAGCCTTGGGGCCTGTTCGGCTGGGTTCCAAATATCATATTTGGCCAAATACTCCACCAAAGCCAAATACGATATTTGGGTCAAAAACGTATTTGGCTTTTGCCAAAAACACCGGCGTTCGGAAACTGTATTTGATCCATACCCAAATACGGTATTTGATCAAAAAATCTTCACTTTTGAAAAACAGCCTCAGGGCTGTTTTTGAGACCAAAAAGAGTTTTTGGGCTCATTTGCCCCTCCATTTCGATTTTTTGTTGACCGATTTGGTCGACTGTTTGGTAAACAAAAAAGCCAAATTTCGAGTTTTTCAATCTGCCCCTTGAAAAAGGGGCAGATGGAAAAATCGTTTTTGTGTAACGATTTTTTCAAAATCCAGCCGAACGGGCCCTTGTCTTTGATTTCATTTCCAAAATTTTTGTCAAGTTTTTGTGGTTGTTGATCAAGATACATGATGTCATAAGCTCACACATCTTCACTTACATACCAATAATGAAAAGGGGTGCCTTAGAAGACATGGATATAAACTGGATCCTTCCATCTGATCTTCTGATAACCAATAGAGTTTTCACAATTTATCTAAGTAGCCTCTCAAAGTGAACTCGATGAAATGGGGTGAGAATGGGAGTAATTAATTGCAATTCCCCTTGCAATGTAGATCCTTTGGCCTACCAATGTGCTATTTCCCACATGCACTCCAAGTCCCATGATGTGCTTGTAACAAAAGAAAGGGGGTATTTTGTCTTTTGTATTCCTCCTAACCTCGTGATCACATCAGTACATCATTTGTGGTCCTTTCATGTATGTACTATTTTGGAATTTGGGTTCAAGGACTTCTCAGCGTGCCATGAACGCAAAGCCTCCATTCATCATGTGCAACTGGTGAAATGTGCCGCCTGACAACACTTGAAAGGAATTTGCTTGGGGAATTTTTAGTAAAGTTGATGGAATGGCCGAATGTAGTACGAGTTTTGCGTATCAACCTTGTGCTTCGCTTTCGAAAAAATTGAAGGCAGTGAGAATCTAAATGGATCGGCCAGCACCGCGTCCTCGCCTATATTTGAACTCGCCGTCTACAGAATAATCGTCTCTTCCGCCCCGGTAGATTGATCGAATTCATTCTTTTACATATGTGGAATGATCTTTGTTTCACTTGATTTTCTGATGCTTTCACATCCAGCCAGTTACTTTTATCGCTTCGGTTCTCGGGCTTGGATTGTAGTGTCCTTATTTCACAAGTATCAAAAGCCTCACGCTTTGATACCATTCGTTTTACGGACGATCTCATGATTAGAGTTCTTCTCGTGTGTAGAGGATTGGGGAGCACACTTGATTTTTCAGTGTTTACTGCTCTCCATCAAAAATCGCATTGAACCCTTCTGTCGATGGTTCCCATTGGCTGTAGTCGTTTAAGTCTGGTGCATGGGCAGACAGGCAAATTGGGGCCAGGGATTGGTGGGTGGCTGGAAGGACGAAGGGAGTTATGACAAGCGAAAGCTAGAAATTCCAACTGTCTTCTATTCAGACCCGGAGGTTATTGACTGGAATCATGCCATACCATGCCATAATAAGCGGGGTGTCTGCAGCTAGACCTGCCTCACCAAATTACAATGGTCTCCTTTTGATTGGTGCAGTGAGGCTGAAAGCGCGCCCCAGGATCTCACCTCCCAGAGTATACACCTGTTCGGTGGGGATTCACGAGCCGGCGAGTTCAAAATTTTCACAACGAGGATCGCTATGTCGATCATAGTCAACATAGTCCATCTTCATGACGTGCCTTTCTGCAAACATGCGGAAGATTAGATACAAAGTACACGGACGGGTAAAACTGTCCTCCAAGATCCACCACTGCCAACTTTTGACCGACAGGCTGATTAGGAGCGGGCAGATGATTGTGTTTATCAGCCACTCTCTTTTCAATGCGACCAGTCATAAGGCATCGTGTAAGGCAAGGAACCCCCAAATGAATACCTCCTGTTTACCTCAACCTGACTCCGTGGTACAATCTTTCTTCTTCTATCACTCTCACTTGACATCGATTATCCCCTGTGCCTACTCGCCTTTTTCTTGAGAGAGGATTTCTGTCAAAGGACAACCAACACTCACCTTGAGCACTATAGTCTCAAAGCTATCTCGAGCGCGTGTGACACAAGGCCACAACAGCCACGAGTCTATTCAGTTCAACACTTAGCGCGCTCGAATAAACTTTACCTTCTTGATTATTTCTGTTTTTCATCAACATCCATTGTATTTCAATATCTCGTTTGCATTTCGTTCTCTCGCCAAAAAGCGACATGGCAAGAAAGGCCAGCTACACCACGTTGGCTCTTTTCATAGTCACATTCAATATTACTTCCTTGAAGAAAGTCAGGAGTGATTCAAATCATGTCAAATTCGATGCTCTGGATCCGCTATTACACCCTCCGATGCCGTCTCCGTCTCCAACCACCCCGTGGGCTGTGTCAGAAATCGCAGCTACACCTCTTCCGCGGTATTCATCAAGTCAATCCGAGGATGATGATCTTGATCCAGTATGGCAACCACTCCCAACATCAGCTCCATCCCTTCTTCAACACGAACAATGCAATGCTCAGGAGAAATCTAAGAAGGGTGGCAAAAAGGGCAAACCCCAGAAGAAGAAATGTGTCGGTAGGTACCATCATTCCTTGGCCACAACGGTCAGCGGAGCGGCAGGAACGCTTGGAACTCCCAAATCGTTTATCAAGCGACATGGTACAATTTTGAAAGCGGGGCCACAATTTTATAGACCAGTGGGACCTAATATGTAAGATTCTTATATTTTCTTATAAGTTTTGAGTGCTATGGATGGATATTAAATAAATGCATATGTTATCTCTACCCATTCAAGATATTGGCTTGGTCTGGATGAAAATGATGGTAGAAAAGTATCATATCCTTCGAAGAAAAGAATTCGAGAGGCTTTTGCTATCGTAAGATATTACCGAACAATCTCAGTTGAGTTATGACTTAAACCGTTATCCCATTTATTCTCTTTTTCTAGGCTGCTGCAATGGGAGCAAACACAGTTAGATCTATCACGCTGGGAGTCAGTACTGGTAACCCACTCAGTATTTGGCCATCGAAGGGGGAGACCAATGAAGATGCTTTTGATCCAATCGATTATGCCATCGGGACTGCCAGGCATTACGGTATAAGGCATGAAGCACTCCCCGATCATCGTAAACAAGGGATCTTCTAACCAAGGGTGATTTTTGTTGTCGACTCTTGATAATAGGCTCGTGATACCTTTGACGGATAATTACAAGTATGTTCATTCGTCTAATTTTCATCGAATGGTACCTTGCTGAGACTACAGTCCACACCTCTGAGAAACTGACTTCACCTCTTCACCTTATCTATCACGCGTATCTTAGATTCTATCACGGAGGTAAGCTATTCTCAAATCATTTGGTCCGTAAGAAACTGATCTCTGAGTGGTGGAAAGTTAACGCGCCTTTTCGATTGAACCAGGTAAATACGATTTCTTGGAATGGGAGGGCATCAACTCGGCAGATCGTGACGCCGAACAGCATTTCTACACCAACAGAAAAGTTATAGATAGTTTCAAAGCATATATCAAGGTCTGTGTTAACCTTGAAGGATGCTGGTTTATATTGTACATCTTGACTCACTTTTGAATCAGTACAGGTGATCTTGAACCACGTGAATCAGTACACTGGAATCGCATTGAAAGATGATCCCACAATCATGGCGTGGTGAGTGTTCCTCCCCTCCCCACCCATCTTCATGTTTTACTGCTCCTCAATCATAACTTGGCTCCAGGGAAACAGGAAACGAGCTTGGGGCATTCAACTTGAAAGAAGGTGCTGCACCTGGTGACTGGACCACTGTATGTTTTTGAGCACCATACTATTTTCTCAAGGTAATCGCTGATTGCGGAAGTGATTCCATTTATTTTAGGAAATTGCAAATCACATCAAACGCATCGACACCAAACATCTAGTTGTTGATGGCTCAGATGGAATTCGAGACACCGACGGCGACGAAATAGATGGGTTATCTATTGACCCCATAGATATCGTCACAGATCACATGTATCGTGAGTGAAAACCCCCATCTTGAATTTCCAGTCGATGTCAAGTGAACGACTTTCTGATTTACTTTTTTGTATCTTGATAAGCTCTTAAAAATTACACGTTCTGGCAAGATCATACGCTTTCAATGTCGTCCGATAAAGTTCTGGTGATCGGTGAGTATGATTGGACAGGCTCCAATGGTGGAATGCCTTTGAGTACATTCTACAATCAACTCAGGAAGGCCCACAATGTTGGTGATTTCGCCTGGAATGTGATGTCTCATGACGACCAGTGTTGTCGTTTCATCGCGCATGATGATGGCTATAGTATCTATTATCCCAATGGTAATGCTAATCTTCTTCAAAGAAGACTTTTGAGGCTTGTTCAGCATTGGTGGCAGTTGAGTATTTCCCAATAAATTCTCATGGCCTGGCTTGCTGATTGTTCTGTCGAGCAAAGACTGATATCATTGATGTGCTTAAAAAATAGTATGACGGGGAGAGAATCTCCACATGTTCTTCCTGCCGTTGCTTGTGAGTCACGAAATATCTTTTCTTGGAGTATTGGACTTGAAATTGACGACTTCTCTCTCACAGGTCCACAGCCAGAATGGTACTCTGACTCAGATGATGACGAGACCGATTCATGATTTAATACTGATCATCATCAAAAATTGACATTGTCTTTCTCTTTCAATCTTCTTATCAATCTCATAAACACCCTTCAGCAATCATGTTTTCAATTTTTTCTTCAACCTGTTGATTAATAAATGTCCATCTATACAAATCTGTTTCCTGATCAATTGCCTTTGTTCGACTGTCTTCTGAAAAATATCGAGTTTCCATATCCTACTAGATTATCAATAAGTCTTCCCTTACCAAGAAAATGGAACCAAAGGCGATGGCAGGTCTATAAAATGTGTTCAGAACTAATAGTGATGTCTGACCAATGTTTTGGATCACTAATTCAAATCATTACATAGATAAAAGGTGAGTTCCAGTGAGGTTCTAGCAAGATGAAGGGGATTTTTCTGCCGTGGTCCATTTTTGCCATTGTCTTCAAGTATGATCGTTACGAATGTGATTCTTCTCCAGTTGGTACATCGATGTAAGAAATGGGTGTATTGTATGCCTACCCTAATCCGAGAACCAGGAAAAGGCAACTCCACGCTTACATGTGAAATTCGAACCACACTTACATTCACCAATCATTAATCTTTACCTTGATTCAAGCGCCAATAACAAGATAGGAAAGTTGATTCTTTGATTTGCAACTATTCCAGACCTTTTGCATATTTGTCAGACTTACTCAAATTGCGTGACCAAATCGGAGCCTTTTTCATGTGATCCACTGACAACGCATGCTGATTGCTTTTCATTTGCACTGTACGGTACATTCCAAAATTCTAAACAAATATATAACAGTCCAACTCAATGATTAAATGAAATAATAAACACGCAGGCCCATTAATGAATTGTTTCTTCCACACTGTATGGTAAAGCTAAAATATTCAAATCAATATGCACTGTCCCAAAACGAAAATCAAACTCAAGATAACAAATGGTAAAAAAGAGAGAAGATATCCAAGACCCAATGCATGAATGAGAGTGACAGAAAAAAAATGATGACAAAGTTTGAATACCAATAGACAAAAACATGTAAATACTATAAATACTAGAAAGATGAATCAAAAATCCATCGATAAACCCGAAAAATATTCCCAACGGTGTGCTCAGCTGAGCGATTTGATCAAATTTTAGCACGTGAAACCCTTGAGGACTTGGCGTCTGTTCTGCTCATGCTATCAAAGAACGAAAGAGGTTTTCCTTTCCGCTTTGGATTGAATGTCCTATATAAAGAAATTTCCACAGCATCAGCGTCAGCAAATATAAAGCCCGCAAATGAATCTTGAACCACACGTACATGTACTCTTCAACGATTTCTTCAGGTAGACGAGGAAGATTCTCGATTCCTATCAAGAGTGTTGCCATCATCCCCATTGTCATATGTAAAGCAATATGACAATGCATCAAGAAAGCTCCAACTGTTTCAGCTTTCATTCTTAGTAGAAACCATCCTGAGACGGTTCCTGCTGGTATAAATGAGGCTGGCTTGATCCAGGTGGAACCTTTACCGGAAAACAACACTTGTGTGTCTCTCCGGTAGGGCTTTCCTTTTCGTTTGTTGATAGCGCGCTTCAGACTTGAATCAGTAAATTTACCGGTTCCGCTCGCGATATAATACGGGCTTTGACCATGGAAACTAAAAACGAGAGCGTTTTCAGAAAAGATGAGGACATTTTGAGGGACTTCGCATTGTCTAGACACAGAAGAGTCACGCTTACTGCCAGGGATGCGACTCGGTCTGTCCTGCGTACGAAGCAGAATTCAAGATGACCAATTCGATTACCTCATTGAGCTTGACTGGGAACGTGGAGGATTTTGAATCAAACCCATGATTAAGTTTGGCAGTTTCGTAATCCGGATGAAGTGGACTTTCTTTCAAGTATGCAGCCACCAAGTATGGAATCAGCTGATGAGATCCCGAATACTAGAGTAAAGGAAGGAGATAAGAATCAGATCAGATGTTGCAGTTAAGAGACCAAACTTCGATATCTGAAAGGGAAAGGCTAACGGCCATTCCATTGACTAGCCACTCAATTCCACCTTCCGAAGTTTTCATTTGCTGACTACCAACAACGATTCGACGGGTGACCTCGGAAGCAGATGGTGCGACATCATCTTTGGAGAGCGGCGAAAAATCATCGAGGATCCAGTCGACCTTCTCGTCTGGAAGTGGAGCTTGAAGGTTAAGCTCATTGGGTGGGGGTGTGCAGAATAGGCTAGAGTCGGGTGTTATGTCCGCTTTGGACTCAGGTTTTGTTCCTTTGAATCGTGTATTTTTGGAAACGTCGGTGATCGAAAGACTGGAATCAGACGGTGATGCGGTTGTGCGAGATGGATCAGTCTGGTATCTCAAGAGAAACGCTCCTCGATCTCGCTCCGGGCGCCATCTAGTTTCCATTCTTCCCCAAAACTCGTTTCCCTGATTTGGAGCTGCCTGTAATTCGGAGAGTGACTTGGTCTTCAAGAGAAATGAGTAGCGTTGCCCAGAATGGATCTCAAGGTGATCTGAATCTAACTTCTGAACATAGTATCCATCCACCTCAATAAATGACAGGTTACTGTGACCTTGGATGGCGATAGAGAGAAATGATAGGGTAGTGATGCCGATCGCACGAATACGGTATGTCTTGGAAGGCTCGACGTCAATCACATGATGGTGGCAGCCAGTTTCACATTGGGTGACAGTACCGTTGGGAGTGCATTCACCAAGCGCATTTCCATTGAGTAGAAGACTATTGGGTTTAGTTAATGCTTTGAAGGGTCTGCTAATTAACTTGGAGCTGATGTCAAGGTCGCCGACATGAAAATAGTCGGCGAAAAGTAATGTGATTTCGGCATCATACTGGTAAGGCGGCGGTTTTTTGTCTTCGATGATCAGCGCGCCGTAGGCTGTGATGATGTCAAGATCGACATGACCATGATACATACTAATATATCGAGAAATCAGTCACCATCCGCCATCAGGAGACTATTGTAAGACACTCACTAAGTTCCAGCGGTATCGTCGGGAAGGTCGAACTCATAATCAAAGAAACTACCAGGTGGGATTGGGTACTGCAAGTTTCAAAGAGACTAGTCGGTCAAACCCGTTTGTTTGCTAGAGAGATAATCCTATATAGTCTCCTCGTACCTGTGATACTTCCGTTCCATCTGCAAAGGGTGAACCAAACTGTGAGATTCCGTGCCAGTGTATCGTAGTGTTTTCCTTTTCGAGATCATTGTATACTCTAATCCAGAGCTTTTGTCCCGCTTGGAAACGAAGTTCGGGCCCAGGAGAGGTCCCGTTGATCACGACGGAGTCACGCAGGGTACAGTCAGATGCAATTCTTGCCCTTGAGACTCTCAGAGTAGTAGACGGTGACCATTCTCTGGTTGTTTTCGCACAGCCAATTTGTTTCAGAGAAGTGGTAAGGGTGAAAGCGAAAAAAATCAAAGTATATGAAAGAATCAACTTGAGCCGGCCGGCCTCATTGCCCGAAAGTGGTCGACATTGATTTAAGGATTGGCAAAAACGAGTCGAGTCCATATGGATGAATGATCTTGCTCCAGAGATCTAAGGGGTTGGGCGAGTATCGACGACCAGAAAGTGTTGGTCAGTGATAGGGGCGCAGTCGAAGAAGATCCCCTTGTGAAAATGAAAAGATTAGAAAGGCTTGCGGGAAGCGATTATAAGGTGAGTCCTGCTTCACAAGACAATCAAATAAAAAAAGGGAAGAAAGAAAAGGTATGTCGTAAGGGTTTTCTGTGCTTCTAACGGGGAGCGATCATGATAGGAAGGATTCGTGAGGCCAGCCGCCTGCTGTAGTAAAACAAACTTCGTAGGTCCAGCTCTCCCAAGAGAAGTAAGAAGCCAGCTCCCCATGGAGACTTGATGATGCAACAGTCGTTAAGCAAGAAAGAACAACGGCCACATAGGATCGGAAAGTCAAAACGGCATGCAATCCACATCACCATTACGGTCACCTAGAATTGTAGGTTCCGGACGTTGTGGAGTGTTGGTGTTGTCAAGGAAATCAATATGATAGTAGTGATACAAAGCAGAAAGAAAGTTCTTTAGAGTCCGTTCGCTTGCCTCCGACCTCGCAGGTTGACCCAGCCAAAATCTCAGGCGTACGCTTCGAGGCAGTTTGAAGCGTACGCTTGAAGTTCTGCTGTTCGGTACAGAAGCCGCGGTCGACCTTTGAGGCGTCTACGGCCCCCGGATAGCTCCTACCAAAGGTACCGACCAAAAAGGTATCTTTTTGGTTTGGAAATTTCTTGATGTTAGGGACAAAAAAGGTATTTTTTGACCCCGTTGGAATTGATCATAGCGACCTCAGAGGAATTAATCCAAGATTTCATAGCTTTTCCTAGGCTAGTTTTACAGGTTGGGGACTTGCAAGGAATTTTTTGGCATTTTTTCGTGATTTTTTCGAAAATGTTACCGACAAAAGAGGTATTCTTGGCCCCCCAAACCTTTAAATTCTGTTATGGTATTATGTTAGTCATGGGGTCAAGTACATCACGTAAGCTTACAGGTTCAGCAAGAAGAGGTTGTAGTGTCGAATATTGGTCAAGAACTCTTTGGTGAAGATGAAGGTAGAGAACTTATGGATGTGGTAGTGTAGTTTCAAGGGGTCTATATATTTCAATTGATTGGTTGATGAGGCTTTCTCCCAATCCGTAGTTATTCCTATTTTGTTACTTGTGTGTGTGTGTGATTTCCTCTTTGGGAAAGGTTGTCGAAAATTTTTGTCACGATGTTTTTCTTTTATACCCTGCCTCTCTCGAGCTCTGGTTTCCTCCCCCATCGTGTGGAAACTGAAGCTCAAGAGTAAGTGCATATTTTTCTCTTTCTACTCTTTGTGTTCTATCATCATCTGGACTAGGCTCACATCTCTCGACAGACTTCCTACCACTCTGTCCTACATTCCTGCTATTCGCAGGTAAGGCGTCGACTCTTCCGCCCATTTCACTTTATACCTTTACGAGTTCTATCTAAACTCGTAATACCTGTTCTGTCCAGGTGATTAGTAGTTTCATTTGATCTCTTTCAATTTTTTATCTAGCTTTTGTTTGTGTGTTTGAAATAATCATCGTGTGGAAACTGAAGCTCAAGAACTTCCTACCACTCTGTCCTACATTCCTGCTATTCGCAGGTAAGGCGTCGACTCTTCCGCCCATTTCACTTTATACCTTTACGAGTTCTATCTAAACTCGTAATACCTGTTCTGTCCAGGTATCATCATATCTCTGCGTCGACATTCAGTCCGCAAGAACTCATTTCAAATTCAGGTACAGTTGTTATCACCTAGTCCCAACCACAATATTATCCGTGGCAGCCCCGGAACCGGCCCCGGTCCGAAATGTTGAGGGGTTGTGAATAGCTACACCACGGGGGGATTTCGGAGCCCCACTTGGCCCTACATTGGTCGGGTGGGCCTATGGCCTAACCACCGCCCTTAGACCGAGCCTCGCTGGTGAGCCACCTTGCCCGGGGCCGTCCGGACGCAAATAAATTCCCTGGTGCACACGTGGCCCGCAAATAGTCTACACGTGGCCTCCAGGCCGCCACTTGCTGTCATTCAACGGCCGACTGAATAGCTGGCCTGGTGTCCACTGCCGCACGGCCTCAGCCCCATCATGTGTGGTCAAATGCCAGATGACGCGCTGCCAACACAGCAAGCCAAGACGCCATTCGTGCTTTCCCAATTAGACTCCGCTGTCAACCGGCTTTCCCGATTATACTCCGCTGTCACTAACCACGCCTGCAGCTTTGGCATCCCCGATCTCATCGCGCATGTGACATCCATGATGATGACGGTCTTGACAGACCTTTGCAACCTTCCATGGCCATCCACGGTGACAACGCATCTCTCAACAGGCACTCCTTGTCGACCATACTCTTTTGCATTATTTTTGCATCATACGGATTGATCCCCTTGTCCTTCCCTTTTTAGCACAGGAACTACCCACAAGAACTACCTTCACACGAGTTCAGAAATTCTGTTAATCAATCCGTCATCATCAGCAATCCGGAGCAATCAGGATATTAAGCCACTTACCCCCAATCCTCTCCTCGTCCTCGTTCGTGACGTTTGTGTCTAGCGTCACTCCATTGCCCACAGTCTGTTCCTTAGCTCACTCATCTTCGCCGCACAGAGCCAAACCTTTACCATTTCCTCGCCTCACCTTGATCTGCAAAGATTAAGAAAGATTAAGGAAAATGGAGCATTACCCAGACCGATGTGAGATTTTTATGGCCTGTGCTATGTCTTGTATGGCTTGAAATTTGATTGACTCACCTGGGGTTATTCACGGTAGATTTTGAAATGATCTCAACGGTACCTTCTGATCCACAATGGAAATGTCTGGTATGCCAACGCCAGATGCGCTCGTATGGACCACACTCTCAAACCGAAACTCACCTCGCAGCAGTTGCACGATACGAGGCTCGTATCACAGCAGAAAATGTGATGCTCCCCGGTCTCAACGACCCACAAAATGGCAATCCTGCCGCCCCACTACCACAGGACGACATATTCAACGACAATGACGAGCTTGCCCCCCCAGACGACCTTCCCTTTGCCCGGCCCCCCTCGCCTTTTTCGTACCTCCAGGCTCTTCAGATGGCAGAGGAAAACAAAACCAGCGAAACAGATGACTCCGATCTTGAAATCAACATTCACAAGCTTGCTGAAGCTATGGCTGCTATGAATGAAGGGTTTGATTCCGACGACGATGAGGCAGACGAAGTCGCTCTTGAGCATGAGATGCATACACCTCAGGTTCAGGATGCCCATGAATGGTACCCATTTAAGAAGAAAGAGGTCAGATCTATCTCCAATGTTATCCAACTACTTTTATTCTCGAATCATTACTGAGAAAGATATCTCCTTTTCTACAGCATATCGTGGCTTTATTGATAATTGGTTCGACCCGAAGCATCCTGTCTCGCTCCCAATACCACCGTATCCGATTGATTTTGCGTATATGCAATGTTATACTGCCAGAGTGGGGTGCTTTACGCGCGTTGAGCAAGCGACTCAAGGCAAAATTTGGCCTGCAGGTCTCTGAACGGACAAGCCCTCATGGGAACCCATTGTTTGGCTTAAAAGTCGAAACAATCGTTAGAAATGTAGGTCTCGTATGAATTATGAGTGGGTTGTTTGTAAGTGAGCCACGATGATTCACCTCTTTCTTCCGTTGTTTGCTAGGAACTCGCGAACCCCCTTGTGAGCCCCCACCTGGTCTGCATCCCGGAGCTGCCCACAAACGAGCCGATTAACCGGTTATCACAATGCCAGAAATGGCGTGAATCTTTCAGTAAGGACCTACGTGTACAAATGGTCGAATCTCGCGGAAAGCACTGGTTCATATACGAACCAGTCCAAAACATTTCGCACCAAGTATTAGTGCCGGTATTTTTCTACCAGGCTGCGGGGCAAAAGATGTCAAAATGTCTACGCGCGAGTCTTCAAGAGGATCCACAAAACGCAGCAGGAATTCTAATCGTCATACCCGCAGAGCAATGTTTCGACTCAAGCGAAATGGACACTGTAAATGTCAAGAACTTCTGGAAGTCCTTGACAGACATTAGATTGCCCGACAGCACCTCCCTCAGTACTCGCAGTGGCAATTATATATATCGTGGGTCCCTGAATATCTCATATATGAACACTGTAACCGACTGCTGTCCCATTTCCGACATCAGAGGAGTCGCCAAACGGTTTAATCAGCGTTCCAGCCATCAATCCGTGGCGCCATCGGGCCAATGGGAAAGTGATCAAGCACATTCCTATTTCCTTGTATTCTGACGATACATCTGGTAACGTTTCCAAGAAGTGGAACCATCACATGAGCGTATTTTTCACTCTGTCTGGCCTACCCCCAAGATGACAAATCAGGAATACAATATACACTTCCTAGCGACGTCTAACTGTGCCTCTGCTCTTGAATTATTTGACGAGGTCGTCGATGACATCAAGTACGTTGAGTGGTCTTCACATTCAGAACTGCATGTTTCCTTTCCCACTCCTGAACTAACACCCTGACTGCACCAGTGACCACAGTGGCAACGGCTTTGTTGCTTACGATTACGTCAGTGGAACGGAAGTGCTCGCTATGGTGGTCGCCTTATTCCACCTGGGCGATTCCCCAATGCACGCGGAAATCAGCAATACCACGAACCCCGCTAATACTTTGACACCATGTCGAATGTGTGACTTACAAGTCGGCCAGATGAGTGACAAAAAGACCGAACAGTACGTTGCGGACTTTATTGGGGTGGACTTAGATGGCGAACAGGTATGTTAGCACCCCGCTTTCTTTCTGACCAGGTGGAGTTGGTGGCCTTTGATGTTAATGCCCAAGCTCTTCCATATGTCATCATTGCAGTTTTCTTTGCCCAAACGTGACTGGGACGTCACCCGCGCGAGGGCTGCCGACATCTGCGCCTTGTCACAGCGACCTCATAGCAAAACGGCCGTCGAGACCCAGCAACGGAAATACGGGTTCCGAGATTCAATGTTGGAGTTCTTTCTCAAAAAGGTCAATCAAGCGTACGATTCAACGGATCCAGCTAGTGCGGTGCGGGAGCTATGCGAACATTTGAACGAGCAACTTGGCGCACATTTATTTAACCCCATGTTAAGGCTGAGAGGTGTGTAACCGGGTCATTATTCAGACATAAATGAAAGCACTTTTAACAGTGTTGGGTTTGGCAGGATTCAACGGACATCTGGACACCCCAGTTGAAACCCTCCACGTTGTCCTACTGGGAATCGCAAAATACCTTTTCAGAGACACGATGAAGTCTCTTGGAATTATGAAGCCCGGAAGCCCACGTTACCGTGACATTTCTGCGCGTTGGAGAGCGGTCAACACCAAAGGCTTAAACATCCCGCCAATTCAGCCTAACACCCTCATACAGTTCTATCAGAGTCTTGTTGGGAAAGACTTTAAGACGGTTCTTCAGACAGTCCCCTTCGTGCTGTTTGACCTCATCCCCAACAACAAACGGCACCTATGGACAACATTATGTCTTCTTGGATCATACATCTTTCAGAACAAAATCACCCACTTGGAAAGTTATCTGCGCGAAATGGAGTCTGCCATTTTGACGTTTTACAACCAGCTCGTGAAAAACTCGGCTCAGTGGGTAAACAAGCCGAAGTTCCACATGCTCACTCACCTGAAAGATTTGATTGAACGTTTTGGCCCTGCAAACTTGTTTATGACCCAAAAACTCGAATGCTACAATGGGGTCTTGCGCGCGGCCTCAGTTCATTCAAACTGCATGAGCCCTGGGCGCGACATCGCAAACACTTTCAACAATTTCCAAATGATGCGCGGTCTTTTATCGGGGAACAGTTTCTTTGATAAGGAACTACAAGCGCATTGTTCGGCAGGAGTCAAAGTGCGAGGACTGCTTAAGAAGATACCTGAATTGTCTCAGGCTTTGGGCCTGGACCCCAAAGCAAACCAAGTCGCTGTTCTAGCTACCGGCCGTAGGCGATTCTTTCTCAGTTCTTTCGGGCGAGTCGGTCCTGACTTGCTTTTGGTGGTTCTTTGCATTCAGCACGCGTAAAGGAATCAAGTGAACTTCCGGCGTACCTTGCCCGCGAAGCGCCCAATTCGTTGTGGGTTGAACACCTGAGTGTCACTTTGCCCAACCAACAAAAAGTGGAAAAGGACGACTTTGTAAAGGTCAGGCCTACCTTCACAAATCAGGAGGACTTTTTGATTTTGACTCTCCACATTTTCGCAGCTCAAGCAAGGTATTCAACTCGTTCAAGTGATTGGCATTTGGAAACCTGACGCGAAACCGGTCAACTCAACAGTCATCTTAATTCGAGAAACTCGCCAAGGGAATATTTCGCCCTTTTACGGCATGCACGAAATAATCTGTACTGCGGACCAAAGATGGGTCAAAGTGACTGTCAGCTACCACTTCGGCGTGCCTGACTCCCTTCATGATCTCACGTGCTGACTCAAACGATGGCAACAGGACCTTCATTGTATATTGAATGTGCAACATGATTGCCATTACTCATCGTGTCCAGTCACACATGGCTCCAAGAAACGAGTGGAAAGGAGAGAAACCACCAATACGATCAGTGCAATCACCCACCTTTCCACCAACCGCTTTATCCTAAATAGTGCGAGCCATCATTCGGCTGAGCTTCATCGCGAAATGGCCAACATCGGATCACGACCAATTTCTCCAGCGGAATGGTTGGCGTCCATGCAAGAGGGTTTAAAAATATGGCGGGATGTGCCGGTCAAACCACGCAAGAAACGCGCGACCAAAGGTAAACGAGCAGCGAGCGTTGACCCAGATGCATCCGAAACCGATTCAGATGCATGATGTGGGGAAATTTATTTTGTTTCAACAAATTCCCAATCTTTTGTTGTGATCGGTCACCGATGAATTATTACACTGCTTATTACTAGCTAGCCGCCATGCTCCACCGCTGCTTGGATCAAGTTGATGACCAGTTAACAATTGTAATCAGACCACGTACAATGCCTACTCTGGCTTCTTCATTTTGGGCAATAATATCCGAAGATAGAGAAAGTCGTACCGTCGGATACGTTCCGTTTCTGCGCCTAGATCTAGTTTTAGATCTCAAGCTAGAACTTTTTTTGAATTTTTTTCCATCCAAGTCCGTCAGCAGCATAAGTGGCTAAACCTCACCACTACCCTACCAGGCTCACCACTACCCTACCAGGCTCACCACTACCCTACCACCCTTACCACAGCCCTACCACACTCACCACTCCACCAGTAAGTCCACCACATGTGGTAAGCTTACCATAACCCAACCAGAGGCGCACCACCCCACCATCCTCACCATTTCTACACCGGTTCGGATCTTCACCACTTCTCCCACTCACCCCAGAAACTCTACACCCTTTGTCCACCAGCTCCATTCACCATCTCACGCCAGTCGCTCGCCCTCTTCCAACTACCTCATTCCGCCACCCTTCCTCACTGATCCCCAACTTCACCATGCCTACAGGCAAGCGTAAACCCACCAAACGACCACCACCAAAGAAAACTGCAACATCCCGCAAACCAACCTACAAACGACGGAAGTACAGTGGCAAAGAATCGCTCACCCCTCAAGAGCGTGAACTGGACACTTCCGAAGAAGACAATGATGACTATCAACCAAGCCTGCAACTTGAAGAGCAAGATTTGGAGGACGACTCAAGAAACCCTGCCCACACATCTACATCTAGCCAACGTCCTTCAACTAACAATTCCAGTGCACCCGCTCCTCCAACAAACACTAACTCCAACACAAGGGGGAGAACACAACCTACTCGCGCAGCATCACCTCAAACTTCAAATCATACACAACTCACCCTTCAAAACTATTCCACGGTTGGTAAAGAGCTTGGACGCCCTGCCCTTGAGAGGATGTTGAACGAACCAAAACGGAAGACCCAAAATCGACCGCCATCAGCTATCTTAGGCGAGGCTCAGGCACTCCAAGGTTACTATACAATGGACAAGATGAGCCTGTCCTTGGTTGGTAACACTACCCTTGCGACTCTGGAATCCGCACTGTGCACTTTGTTCTCATTGATTTTTCTCTCTCACAAACCTAACACTTACATTATAAACTCAAACATTTCATTCTTTTAACCTTAATTGTCACTTCGCAGATTCGAAGGCCCTATATCGCGCGACCGCACATGGCTACACAACTTGGATGAGCTACAGCTTGGCCAACACAGTCCATATCTCAAGTAAGTTTGTATCAAATCGCAACCAGGCCTAATACTAATGAACTCCTAATTGCAGTGCCTGCAGGCGGTCAATCCGAGGGCTTTGCTGAACATAATCAAAACTGCCGTAAATGGACAGAACTGACAGATACTGAGTCAGAGACGTTTCAGCCAAAACTTTTCGAAAAGCTAGCCTACGCCCATTTCACAAACATCGCCACACCAGTTTCTGAAGAAGAGCGTGCCACAGATCAAGAGATCACCCAATATATGCAACATTTCACTTGTCTTGCTAATCTCGATAAGGTATCCAAACATCTCCAAAATGGCGTACTGGGTCAGACCATAGCAAAATCACTTGCTGTCATCAAAAAGAGGGGTCGCGAAGAGATTGGAAAAGTGGCTACCCAGGTAAGCGGCCTTTTCAAGACCTCTATGATCTATGCGTGACACTTACACAAATCTACGCGTTCTGTAGCTCCAAAGTATCTTCAAACGTTTCGGCATTCACTCGCACCTCCTGGTCGCTAGCTGGAATCCAAAGACCAAGCTAGAAAACCCCATGTGGAATCCAGAATACACTACGAGCCCTCGATGGGCTGAATACGCCAAGCGAACTCATCACCTTGCTAGAGACTTTGCCATTCGGTCCACCGCAGCCCAAATCGAGATCACTGAAAACCGAAAATCTACTAAACAAAACAACGAAACACCCCAGGTAGCGATGAGGAAAAAACTCACCAACTTGTTGAATAACGAGATACGTAGGTGATGTCCATAAGGTGTGCCTCAACATTGTCCAACATCAAACTGACTCAATTTCTTTCTTAGGGAAGAATTTGCCAAATCAGCCCCAGGGACCAAAGCATGACGTATATCCAAAGACCCCCAATCCACACGCAACTATAGCAGGCCGCCTTTTCCAAGGCGTACAGTTGGTTGTCCGTCAATCCACTGACTCGCAGGTCACCTCAGAGATGCTGGCTCTAGGAGCCAAAGGTGGTTGTCTGACGGACAAACAGGTCAAAACTTGGATCGACGATATTGAAGATGGAAGGTATTCAATACATGTTGCAACAAACGAGAATTGAAAGGATGAGGTAAATTTTATTCAAACCTCACCTCACTGTCTCATACAACTTCATGAACAACGTGCTCATCATGGTTGCAAACAAACCCATAAACGTGTATCTCTCATCACACCCCCTCACTCTAAACCAATCATACTAAAGTTACTCTTTTGGCCCACCTCTTTAAACTGTGTGTGTGCGTAGCTCCGTTGTAGGCTATTCTTTAAGAATTTCATCCATGAAGAACATGTTTTTCATTTCCAGAAATGAAAGCTTTGTGTTGTGAACACCTCGGTTTGGAGTGTTGAAGATTCTACATGTGATGACACATTAGGGGTCCTCAAGTTGAGAAAAATTGTGTTCGAATTACACTTGGACCGTGTTTGAATTGTTAATTTATTTCATTGATTTCGAACAGTGGCTCGGAGCCTCTGTGGACAGGTAACAATCAGAGGTCTACGCTGAAACAAAGTGACATCATATGAACAAGAGGTCTTCTGTCTTCTTGAACCCTTAATTAGTTACACTTTGGTAAGTCTCGGACACAGCAGACTTATTAAACCTATGAATTTGATAGCTGGAGTGGGTGTCACTGGCTGTAAAGGGTGTAATTTTGTATTCACTAATTACAAATCTTTCATTAAATTTCATATTACACACCACTGTAATTCCCTTTTAGTCATGGACTAAGAGGTTCGTGTGGCGGCTGGAAAATTGGAGCTATAAAAGAAATCGCACTTGTGGAAACAAACAAAGTCACATCTCACATCCAGTAGAATTTCGTTTCCACCCTTGAACCACTTACAGATTTCCCCAATCTTCATCAAGCCCTGTGGTAAAGTATCAAAGTTCTAAATTTTCGTCTTTCCGATCTACTTTTCCTTTTATTCGTTCGTTTCTTTTCGCTTCTTCTAAATTTTTGTCTTTCCTACTCTACTTTTCCTTTTATTAGTTCGTTTCGTTTCGTTTCTGGCCCTTTCTCTCCTTCTTCACCCACCAGCACTGACAGGCTTCAGGCTGGCCACCATTTGGAGGTTGGACGATAAGCATTGACAGGAATCAAGCTCGTCTCAGCCTCATATATCCTACCCTCCAAAATCCTCCTATACCTTCCATTGTGTTCCCTCTTTTGATCATAAGCCCTTCATTATCAAACGATAAATTACCCACTTACTTATCTCTCATATCTTTATATTTATAGGAATGCCAGCGTCTCATAAGGGCAACAAGATCCATAATTACAAAACCGATTTGCCATACAACCGACCTCAGGAAAGTCAGTATTCCCTCTTCTTTCCCTTGAATCTAAATACCTGTCTGATTAATAACATTTGCTCTTGTGCAGAACCAAAACAGCGCACCCCACACGTCGATGACCAGTTCAAACCAAACAAACCCGGACATCAGTACACTAACAACTACATGCAAAGTTCTGTCTGTGACCAATACCTCCGCCAAATGCTAAACAACATCACGCCGGAGGTTATCGACTACGACATCGCAGTTGCATACTTCCTAGAAGAAACGGATCACCTTTTGATTGGCTGCATTCCCCACTCTGTCGACAAGATATTGACCGATTTTGATGTCCTCCCACCAGTGACGGGTCGACAAAACGATCTCAGAGCTTGTGCCTTACACATTCAATCTACAATCGCTCTCTCCTGTTTAAACCCGGGTCCGATCCAACCTTTTGCTCTTAGGTACCCCACACTCAAAGCGTTGAAGAAGCTGACTTCTGAACGGTCCAAGTCCCTGCGCTCGATTTCTACAGATAAAGCTGTCGTCCTTGTCGATCTAGCTGGTCGCATGCTTGCGATGTGTTTACCACCCAAACCTGCCAATCCTTCGACTGCCAACTTAGATGTAGCCGACAAAAGCAACCGTGATGATATGTCCAGTGAGGTACGTCTAGATCGCTTTGGTGGCTTATTGTATGAATCTGACCATTATATCATTCGCTGTAGGACCGAGGTTTGATGGCTTTTGAAGGTGCTGCTCAAGTACATGCCCTTCCTAAAGTCCACAATCCTTTAGTCGACATTCTCAATAGCCAAGCCGAGGACAAGCTCAACAATCTCTCTGGTGATTTCATTCAACCCCGTCTCTCCCGAGCAAAGAACAAGCCCGCGCCGCATCTCGGTGCTGTGTATGGCTCTCTGCCTTATGAGGCGTTTGGTTACTCATTGGGATCCGTAAGATCAAGTTCACAATTGATCATTCAAAGTCTTCGCTGATATATTTTTTTCATCAGGCATTTGCTAGGGCCGACACTAAGATGCAACTGGGCTTGGAACGCCAAGGTTACACTTTGGACGACGTTGGAGAGGGACCTAAGTCCGATCAGCACCTGCCCCAGGTCATGGGCTTGGGCGAAGGTTGTGTATTCCAAAGAATCGAGAACGCTCGCATCCAGGCAGAGCTACTCTGGCCATACGAAGTTTTGAGAGCTCTTAACGCAGCTGTCAATCCCGACACTTACACGGCATCACAGCGAGTGATAAGGTTTATTGAAAGGAACTCCAGTGCAATGCTTTCTGAGCGCATCAAGGGTTTGCACAACAACATCATTCAAGGTGAGTACGTACTGTATTCCCCATTACTTTTGATCGTTTTTCAATGTGAAACATCGTTTTTAATACATTCTATCATGTCCTTCATATAGGACAACAGATCAACTATAACCTTCAAGTTGGATGCCATCGAGATGGTAAGAATTCAAACCTTCTGGATTCGGTGTTCTTCTACGGGCGCAACTATAAGGGCGGGCGACTTTGTTTCGGTTCACTTGGTGTCAGTCTTTGCGCCGATCCAGGCTATTCTATTCATGCCCGGTTCAAACTGTTGGATCATGGAGTTAGCCCTATCTTACAAGGCCCAGACATCAATTCGCCGCCACTGCGAATTTCGCTAGCACTGTATGCTCATGCCGATACTTACTCTGGCCCTGCCAGAGTGTCAGCCGCTCGCAGGAATCGAGCCGAGTTCAGTGACGCTTCGATGTGGCTTCCTTTCCCGCCAAATAACTTCTCAATTACGACTTGCCGCAAGATCTTGCGAAAGGAAGAGGAGACTTGGAAGAAGAAGGGCCGCGCCGGTCGTCTGGGCAACCGGCGTGTCAACTGAGGCGTTTTCGCTTATTCGCCTATCGTTTTCACTGTTTTGCCTATCTTTTTCACTATCCTGTTTATTACTAGTTCCTGCCTTTGTCTTGTTTAACAACACTTTCTCAATTACTTCTTATGTTGCTTATGGGTACTATTTTCTTTTGAATGAACCGTTTGTTGCGTGTTGTATTTCGTTTTGAATTGTTGTGTGTTGTAATGGTTTGATGTCAGTAACCTAGTTTGTAAAACTAGTCATTTTTCCTTTCCGGTTTCTAAGTAATAGTTGGTTAGACTTATGTACGTTTTTTGATGCACAAGCACAAATCATCTTGCTGGTTGTTTGTACCTACACACGTATCATATGATTTTAGTGGATTAAGAGATATAATTAAGCGCTTGATTTGGTGACAAAATCAAGTAAATCAAGTATCTAAACAAGTATTATATGATTTTAGTGGAATATAATTGATATAATTAAGAGATTGATTTAAGCGCTCGATTTGGTGACAAGATCAAGCGCATTGTTTCAGTAAACATAATTACATTATCCTACACATGACTGGAATATTATTTATGAGAAGTTCCTTCTGAGAAGGAACTTGTGTTATTTATGTTATGATATATGCCCTGAGCAGGAATTTCTGTAAAATAGTAAGTAAGGTGTTTTGACTGAATCCTATATGATGATTTATGTACTTCATGTATAATACTTTTATTTATGACCTTCAATGAGGAATAGTATTGGGTTGATGTTTTGAAACTTCTGCATATTATGATTTATGCACTTCCTTTTCTCTCTTCCTGGTGTTTTTAATAATTGATTCAGTTCATTATAAGTTTCAAGAGTTACATGAGAAACATATCTCATTCAGCAGGTTGCCCACACTTGTGCTATCCACCCATAGAACTTCTTCTGAGAAGGAACTTATGTTATTTCTGTTATGATATATGCACCTGAGGGACTTATGATTCAGTCAAATCATAAGGTGTTTTCACGGAATAATATATTATGATTTATGCACTTGTATAAAACTTTTCTTTACTATCCTTCAATGAAGAATAGTATTGGTTTGATGTTTTTGAAACCTCGGTGTATTATGATTTATGCACACTCTCTTCCTGCTTCCTGAAACATATAAAGTAATTGAATCCAAGTACTTTATCTGTTTCAATAGTTACATGAGAAACAAATCCATTTCAGCAGGTTGCGCACACTTGTGCTATCCACCCATAGCACAAGTGTGGGATGAATAGTGACAATACTGACTGAATACTCCAAAATGTACATCACAATGCATTTTGTTTGGATTTGTATCAACTGAGACTTGGTATATCTGGAATATCATGAACTTATAATGTCCGGTGGGAATGTTTACCAGTTGAAGAGATATTAATATTGTTAGACTGATCACTCAATTTCCTTGCGCAAGTCAATGAGAATGGAGATACAAATATTCCTTGTATCCCCTTGCACAAGGGAGACTGGTAACTTGTCTTGCTCACCCAAGTTACCATTTTCCACGTGCCGCTTGAACTTATATATATATATTACACTGTTTAGGGGTAGAACCAGTTAATGATAATATTATAATTGATGAGACATATTACCTGAATATATATATGTCTTCAGGTAATATGTCTTGCTCGCCACTAACTAGAACTAACTAGAGATGATGAGCTTATGTTATAAGCTCATTAATGATATATATTAATGTGTCTTGGGTGCAATGTAATGACAAACAATTAATGATGTTGTTAGGCTGGCACAAGTTAATGATAATGCATGCAGAACTTCGAAATCATAAGCTGAAAGTGATTGGAAGGTATTTTCAAATATATATTCCAATGCAATATATTAAGTCTTGATGACTTGTTGTACATTTCTCTGCTACATCACCAGGCAACATCATAAATACCCAAATGTTGGACCATTATTACAAAAGACTTTTGAATACAATGCATATAAATGCATATATCAGATATATGAAGGGCAAGGATGACTTGATAACTTGAGTCATCAAGTCAGGTACATCACCAGATGTTGTAAGTCATCAAGTCAGTTACAACACCAGTCAACATTGTAACCTGATGTTGCAATTAAAAAATCAAAAAGAAAATATGATGAGGTATGGTCACCAGTCAACATCATAACCTGTTTTTGGATTAAAAATCAAAAAGATCACATTGAAGCATTTGTGATAGGCCTTGATGACTTTATGACTGTCAACATCATAACCTGATGTTGGAGGTGAGTTATATTCAAACTCACTGTCACATCATGTTTATGTTTTTAAGGGCCAACAACACCACATTGGTTTCACTCGTGGAAAAGAATTAAACCATTAGATTAATATTATCCAAATAAATCAATGTTTGATTAATACTAATAAAATATATAAATGATTTGATAGATTTATCAACTTGCGGAAATCAAAGAAACCTTTAGATTTCCACATTATCAAAACAAATCAATGATTGGATATATTTATCAACTCGCAGAAAACAATGAAACCATTATATTTTCGAAATGTTAAACTGATGGTTTCATACAACCTTCCACAGTAAGTGCTCGCATTATACTGTGATTTCAATGTCTTCAAAGGAAAGCCCACAATCCAACTAATTGAAGAATGATTCTAATCCAAACTATTATAATGGTCACAATCCAATCGCTCATTTTCAGCAAAGACAATTCCAATTGTGACTGGGTTTGTAAATCTGATAGTCAAGATGCCATCCTAATATGGCATCATGACTGAACGCTTAGGGATCTGATGTCAAAGATCCTTACTCAGTTTTGGCAGTCCAACTCTTTGCTGGATTACATCGGACTACCTTGATATATCAAATGAAAAGGGATGTAGATGTTGGGAACTTCTTCCAGACCGCATTACAATGGAGGACAGAATGAATTTGGGGATATAAATTATAATCATTGATTACAATATGACACAGTAAAATCATGGCCTGTTGATTAACCAATCAAGCAATCTACGATACAATTTGGAGGTTTTCTACCAGATCTTCAAGGAGGTCTACATCCAAAAACCCCTCGTCGACATCATCGTCATCAATCTCGTTAGGCATACCAATCATATGAGCCCATTGTTCAGGGCACGATGTGACCAATTGATTCCAATTGGATAACAACTCGTGATCGAAACCATCTGGAAGCTGAAGATAAGCAGCTGTCCGCAACAGGACATCCTCAATGCCCCATTTCCAAGAGATCCAAAGTTTACATGCCCGTTTGGCCATTCCGAATTGCAGGGAGATAGTTACTGGATCAATACCTTTGAACGACATTAGCCATTTCGTTTTTGATCCAAACGCTGTACTGAAGAGGTGGCTTAGCTTACTGTCGCGTTCCAGGTCTTTCACCTTGGTTGAATGACCTAAAGCCCACTGCAATTGCTGTCGCAGCTCACGACCAATCCGCCGCATTTCCTCGCGGGAGCTGCATTGAATCCGCCACACATCTATTCCTGATCTGGTCAATGGGTCAACAGCCCAATCCTTGTTTGGATGAGTGAGATCTTCTATTTCCCAGAAGGGGTCATCAATCTTCATTCTATTTATAGAATTGAACAAAGGCGTGGGGAACAACGTGGCAGGACGAAAATTCTCGTTAAACCGAGTAGCGTGTCGCAAGTAAGTCCTATGGGCGCAGGCCAATTTTTTCTGCTTGTCAGACGTAACACGCTGATAACACGCCCGGTTCTTTTGGTCTGCGGTTGTTTGGGTGGTTAGGTGAAGGTCAGACCTCGGTGGCTTATTTTGAGAAACATAAGGCTCTACGCACCCGTGGTTCCCTCGGCTCGAGCGCGGATTTCGATGCATTCAACCTTTGCATGGTACAGCTTGGACTTGGCAATTTGTAACAACATCAAGGGTTTGGCTCGGTTGTCTGATTTTGCATTAGTAGACAGCCAATTCGATCATAAACCAGTGAAGAGACTCACCAGTCATTCCAGTTAACTCCCGAAATTGGTGGGATCCCAACGCATTAGCAAGATTTTGTATTTGGTTCTCCAAAGAAGTCAGAGTACCCGGCAAGTCAAGGAGCTCTTGCTGCTGCTCTTGCGTACGTAACGGGGCCGTGCTTGCTTCCAAATTGGCCAGCTCGGTGCTACCAAACAATTAATGTGTTAGATTAGACTACATGAGTCGAGATGAGGCCTATGGTACCTACCGGGCCTCAATCAAGTCTTCCTCCAGAGCCAATAGGACCGTCAAACGTTCTTTGAGTCTGCAAGTAGTTGCAGTAATAAAGTTCAGCTGGATGTGTCGCTGTCGCTGCCATTGTTGTTCAAAGAATGTCGTGCTGTACTTGGCATTTGATTTGGCCAAATCGGTCAAAGTAGCAGAGGCTTTTACCAGTCTCTTCTCTACATTCGTGGTCCAGGAGAGCATACCTGACACTGGATAGCGGGATAGTCGGAGCTCAGTTGCGCGACCTGATAGGAACAAGATAAAAATCTCCTACTCATTCTGAACAGCGTCTTCTCATTGTGATGGAGGCCACGGTCATTCAGTGATACCAGTCGGTTCTGTTTGGTTGCGTATCAAAGCATCGCAACTAAGACTCTAAGGGCCAACCACACACGCTCGCATCCTTCGCCGTCCGAGAGGCCCCAACCCTTGTTGAGGCGAGGGTTGTAGTCCAATTGACATAGCCAATCATGCACATAAGCGTGAAAGACACTGGTGCCGAACTTGAGGCGCCCAGCGGCGCGCTCAGCGGCGAATTGTTTTCGCTATGTGGATGTCTTATTTCAGCTCATATACCGTCTTTAGAAACAAAGAAAAAATCACCTTCCTAACCCCCTTCTCAATATTACACCCTATATCATAAAGTATTCCAACTCTTCGCTCCCCATCTGGATGATCAGAAGTGACTTCGAGGATCCAGTCAATGAGTGCAAGTGCATAGTGACTCCTGTGTTAACCAAAAACGCAAAGATCTGTCAATCACTTGACTGAACATGAAATGAAGAGAATCCTACGGGCTTTTCTCCGCTTTGTACTAAGTTCACAAATCTGATGATGTGATCATGGCGACATGCCATGACCACCAGGCCTGTCTCATCCATACCAGGCCAGGATTTCTTTCCCCTCACATCGTCCGCCGCGGTGTGACTATCGGTACAGGGATCCTATATGAGATAGATGTGGTTTAGTTCTTTGAAAATGCCTTTATTAGAAATTTATGACTTACCACCAGTTCGTCTAGTTGTGGGTTGCGCGGGCCAGGGCCACTGCCTGCCATTGCGTCTGCCATTTTTTCCACTCGGTGTGGATCCATGAAAAGCTCTGGCGTATCTGGATTATGACCGGCTATTTCGTGGCTTGCAGCCATGTGACGTCGGTGTTGGAAGTTCCCGTCAACACATAATATGATGTGTGGCTCGTCCGGGTTTGGAGTTTGGTCCACTGGGGGACCAAAGCAACGCGGGCAGTTGCTTGCCAGCTGTTCAAGTGGTGATAATTGCAGTATTTCGATCTCTTTCTGTCGTATCAAACTGAGAACTTGTCGATGGGCTGTAACTGCAGAAGTGAGCGGCTTTCGCCATTCACGGGGCTGATATAATGTGATCAGATAACTAATATAAAGTTGGTCAAACAGATCAAAACCACCTTACCCGACCGGTCTTTGTACTCAGCATGAGAGGGTTTTTGGCGTCAAGGTAATCATCCAGAGCCAGCGAGAAACCCAGCATTCGGACACTACAATGTTTCCATAGAATGTGGTGAAACAACAGCAGCCGGATCGAAAAAGCTGTGCGAGGACAACTTGGAGAAGCGGGAAAGTACCCCATCTGAATGAGCCGGACCACATCAGGAAGGCATTTACAGAAGGTTATCAATACTTTCCTGCGAGCTACAAATGATATCAGTGTAAGTGTCAGTGTCAGTGAACATTTTTGTCTTCCACATAAAATATACATACTGTGTATGTCCACTAAAGTTACTACGCGTGAGGACACTGGACACTGACATTGTACTTTGAAATCATGTTTCCAAAGTACGACATCTCCCCAATTGCTAGTCTGATTTCGAGCAATGATATACGCATCAACCATCGCCTGAACAGCACTCGCCCATTTAGCTTCATATGCAAGCCTTCGACTTTGGTACAGGTTTGAGTTGAGTTCGCTAATAATTTGTCGCTGCTCTTCTGTAAGCTGATTAATCGGAAAATCTTCATATTCATCGACGTCTTCCCAGTTGTCATTGTCATGTGGAAATCCAGGTGCATTCGTATCATCTAATTCATGATCATGAAGGTTGTAGACATGGTCTTCGTGGAGTGCTGAGGAGCCATCTTGCCTAATGCCCGTCACCTGAGTATTGGAAGTTTGTGTACGTACTTTGGTCATGTCCTTCGCATCTTTTTCCTCTTGCTTTCGAAACTTGGCCTGCAGGTCAGTTGCTGGCCGCTTCTGCTTGTTGAGAGGCTTGTAAGGTGTCGGTCTTGGAGCCATGATTGAAATATGGGGAAAATGTAATGCAAGAAGAAAAAACTTTAACTGCGCCCAGACTGCAGTGAAAAAGTTTAATTTTGTTCAATCGCACCACCCCAGATGAATTAGGTTTGCTGTATGAATACAGATGTCTTAGGCTTCTCAATCGAACATTAGCCCCTTGAAATTGGAAATAACCTACTCATTATCATTTCGGACTCCGTTTTTTTTTCTCAAGTCTCACTGTCCACTCTGCTGGCTAGCGCGACTACTGTGAATCGATTTGCTTTAATGAAATGAGATATTTTACTACATTTACTCTACTTATGAGTCAAAGAGCAAAACCGAATGTTAAACTCTCACCTGGGATTGAACATTCTCAAGGCACGTTTTGCAGGAATTGCAAACGTTTTGTCTCATTCATGACATCAGATTGGTTGCATTGCACTTATTAATACATTAGCGAGCATTTGGAGAAGATCATTACTTGGTAGGTTATGGTGGGACATATGTATGATTATCTATGGGTCATTTGTGTTTCTTTGCACTGAGAGTGCTGCGGGTTCTAGTAAGTTGGGTTCGTTTGACACCACTCTGTGCTGCCACTCCGGTAACATGATCTAATCTGCTTCGGGTTCGACGGGGTGATACACTTGCGGTTTTCTTGATAGTCGATCTAGTGGATCTAGTCTGTGGGGGCGGTTCATGCGATGACTTGTAAACCGGGTGGGGTGGAAGTGGTTCCTTGTTGATTGTTGTGCTAGGTAGTGTGCTGGAAAGAGAGCGCTCCAGATTGGTATTGGTGGCATAGTCATGCTTAGCTACAGTATTAACATCAAGTACTTGACAAGTCGTCTGAACGCCTGGTTGTTGAGTGTTAGGCTGCAGGAGATCTTCATATACAAAAGAGTCTATTGAATCAAATGATGGATGATCGTTCATAAGTGGCTGATCGTTCATAAGTGCCTGTTTGTTCATAAGTCTGTTGAAAGCATCAACATCGATTCTGCTGGGGCTAGTAGGTGATTTTTCCTGTTCCTGATGATGCGTAATGCTGGTATCGTTATGTTGAACGTGCAAGGGAGATTGAAATTGAATGAGTTCGTTGAATTGTTCCATTTCTTCTAAAATTTGTAGCGCAGTTTGCTGCTCATTTGCGGTTTTCATGGTTAGTGGATAAAACTCAAATGGTGACGAGGCTGAAAAAGTAGACTTACTTCATGGGAGTCATGAGCATTGGTCGGTATCTTATCTTTGGGTACATTAGATACCGCATCAATCAGTTTGTGGATTGATTGTAGAATCTCATCTTGTTGAGAAGTCGGCATTGATAGGATACGGTTGTTGATAGATAGTAGTTGTGACTGAACGGTAGTGTCTAAAGGTACGTTGGTCGGTTCATGACTCAAGTCGAGGGCAAGTGATTGTTCGGCCTTTGGAAACTGAAGACAGGTTGTCAGCTCACACCCGCGATGTACATACAATTAAATGTTTTACTGGACTCACAGAGGTAGGTGCGATGCTGGGTGTGATGTGTGGAATCTCCATTTCCATGGGGCCATGATTGTGAGATGTGATCTCGTGATGGAGAGTCCAGGTGCATCGCTCTCGGTGGAAAGTCGCTTTCATCTTGAAGGGGCATTCTATCCTGATTGATCGGGTCTTCTTGGGTGGATTACACTCGGTAGCATCAGTTTGGCCCTTTCGCTTGGCGGGTTTTCCACCACGATGGCATTCGTATCTGCAGTAAAGATGTGGGTCACGTCCAGAGTGACCGATGATGATACCGTACCCTTGATGTGGGGCAAACTCTTTGACAAATTTGTCAAGCTGTTTGCAATGATGAAAAGGTTCTGTGGCCTCGGGATCAGGATTCCGCAGAGCCGATATGAGTGGTGGTGGTAGCATTGGTGAAGGTGTGTTGCTAGTGGTTGGTACTTGCATGGAGGCGATTGGTTTTGGTGGATTGTGAAAGGGTGATGGGTGTGGATGTGGGGCCTAGAGGAGGAAGGGATGCTGAGGTGGTCCGGAGGGCGGCGTACAGTGGTGAGTTGGGGAACTGGTGAAGATCCGAACCGGTGTAGAAATGGTGAGGATGGTGGGATGGTGCGGCTCTGGTTGGGTTATGGTAAGCTTACCACATGTGGTGGATTTACTGGTGGAGTGGTGAGTGTGGTAGGGTTGTGGTGAGTGTGGTAGGGCTGTGGTAAGGGTGGTAGGGTAGTGGTGAGCCTGGTAGGGTAGTGGTGAGGTTTAGCCACTTATGCTGCTGACGGACTTGGATGGAAAAGAATTCAAAAAAAGTTCTAGCTTGAGATCTAAAACTAGATCTAGGCGCAGAAACGGAACGTATCCGACGGTATGACTTTCTCTATCTTCGGATATTATTGCCCAATAACAATTGTAATCAGACCACGTACAATGCAAAGGTTGTTCCATTTTTATGACTGACGAAATCTTTGCAAAGGTCTTTTCGCAAAAGCCTTTTGCCAACGTCCGATGTAATTGCCTAAAGAGGCAAGTATGCCACAGTCGCGTGGCGCGTGACACAATTGCTCATCAGGGAGGGCGTCAGATGAGCAAAACTGCAATGACCAATCAGGGGCCCTCCGGCCACTGCTCCCCCTGGCGTCCAAGAACTTGGCGCGCTCTTGTGAAAATAAAACCTTCATCTCTCCCTCATTGGCTGTTTTACACATCTTCTTTCTTGAAGTAACTTCCGAAAACACTTTTTTTCCCTTGACCAGCTTGACACTCTCCTTTCAAACCATGTCTGCTCAAAACAACGGCCGTTCTCAACCCTACACCTTATCGACTCCCAGGGGTGGCAGTAAGCATGTTTTTCTTTTGAGGCCAATAACTTTCTTGCCAAGTTTCACCTTTCTAAGTTCCTCCTTCTCTTTAGTCAACAGTTCATCTGTACCTACTAACTCCGCAAACCGCGCCTCAGCGAGATCCATTCGCGGTTTAGGGGGTAAGCAATCTCTCCATCTTAACTTCTTCCTTCTTGTTATTTTGGGCTGACTTATTGAGCAGGGTCAAACACTTCCAACGGAGGGTCCAGTGAACCTATGGTAAGCTTCTCACAACTGTCGCTCGAGAAGTCTGTCAGAACTGATGATTACGTTATTTACAGACACCTCAACCGAGCGGGGTCTCAACTGATGTTATCTTAGCTGCAATCGCCAGCTTGACCGCCAAGTTGGAGAAAGAAGTTTTGATGATGTCAGACACACTGCAACAGGAGATTAATACCATGTCAAACAGGCTCGATGAGGAAATTGGCAACCTTTCTAACAAGTTCAATGAGGATTTTGGCAAGGTTGAAGAACAGCTCACAATCACGTCAAACAGGATCGAACGTGTGACCAACAGTGTGGAAGAACTAGCAACGACAGTCACATCTGATGTTGGCCACAACGCTGGAAACGTGCAGCGTAATGCCGCGGGGTCAACTGGACCTGCCACTCCAGCCGTACCGTGGACCTACACATACGAGTTGAAGGTCAGTTTGGAACATCCATGTCCTCTCGTCTGTCAAGGGTCCTCACACGGTGTCATCACAGCAACGCGTGTATGCATTTGCCTACGATTTGGTTCATCTGCCCAACATCGCTGGTTATACTGCGCTCGAAGACCCCAACGGTGATTTGTTAGCCACATCACTCTTCAATACTATCAAGGTAGGAAGAACAATCATTTCGGCTATTTCATTTCTTTTCCATTAGACCCTGTTGACTCTTAAAATTTCTTTCCATCGCTGTGCCCTCTGCTTTGGGGTTCGTACGCCAGCAAAAGATAAACAAGATTCCCGGAACGTGGGCGACTGAGCAGCTTCCGCCAGTGGTCAATGGTATGCAAGATGTTGCGGCGACTCAAAGGTACACGTCGTTAGTGAAGGATGCCGGTAAACACGCCCGCGAAAAGTTACACAACTTGGTAAGTCTACCTTGCGCACTGTTTTGTGGGGTTCGATTGACTGACAAACCGCTCAAATATCCAGGTGTTACACAACATCAAGAACCCAAGTGGGACCGTTCCGGATTTGAAACGCCTCTTGCATCGAGTGAGTCCCACAATCATTCCCATTGCGGTCTTGAGTTGAGAACCTGAGCAAGCAATTGTTTGGACAGATTGCACGTCAATGTGGCAAGACCGCCGAAGGGCTGGACGCTCAGGCCTATTGGCTCGGGACGTTGTCGGCCACTCGTTTGCGTATTGCCTATCTAGTGAGGCTCTGTCTTTCTGTGGTCTGCCAACATGGAAGGCGCTGATGGTCATTTTGAGCAGCGACGGGAGGCGCTTTGTATTTTCCAATCGCTACGGGCCGGCGGAGGGGGAGGTAACATCTGGCACCGAGTGGACTTACAGCTCCACCATTTGGTTGTGCAGGGATCTTTATATTCTTCCGCGTACGTTGTTTCATTATGAAACAACTTCTTGCTACACAACCCTGACTACGAGAATACAGGTTTTACAAATTGATTTACGACCAAGATCGTGCGCTCTTTGACGGGAAGGGGTACTTCGACAACATTATTGAGCCAACCAAGAGTTTCGATTTACCGTTGGAAGAAGAGATCACAGAAGAAATGGAACGTATAGAACAAGCAGGAGGCTCAATTGTTTTAGAAGATTGATATGTGACTTAATGCTTGGTGTGATGCGGTTATCTCGCGCAACCATTTTACAGTTGTGAACAGATATTCTCTTTCTATTGTTCTCTTTTCTTTCAAATTGAGAAAAAACTATCTCTTGTGTTTTTGGTCCTCAATGTTGCCTACCCCATTTGGCGAAATGTCAGGCTTTCATGCCAAGTGTGAGTGTGTTCAACTGTCTGAAAGACAAATCTTTTGTGCCTGTGCAAGCAAGGCGGCTGCTGTGTTCCAAAATGCTTGCACGCGGTCTACTGGCGTGTTTTTCGCCGGGTGAAGGCCGACGCAGCACCGGGAAAAGGCGCATATTTTCGCGCTGAGTGGCGGCCCTCGTGCCTGCTTGCCTGGCGCCCTTTCGGCCGCGGGAGGGCGACACCAGTCTGACCAGCAAGTGACAGCCCTTGCCTGCGGAGGGAAGGGCGGTCGTGAGGTGGCCGAGTTGGGCCACCTGACGACTGTCAAGACCCCTCCGTGGTGTATGTGAGTCAGGTGGTGGGCGCGGATTTGGCAGAGAGGGGCGCACCCAGGCGCAGAATCCATTGTCTGGGACGCGCCCAAATAGCAGGGGGCGTGTGGGCGCGCCTTTGAAGCAAAAAACTATTAAAAACATGAAAAAATCTTCACGGAAACAGCAATCAAGGCTGTGATGAAGCTCAAACACAAATGGGGATGTGAGAAAAGCTGTTTCAAGTCAGTATGACCACACTTTCAAGATAAGAATCACTGAAAGTTTTTGTTCCAGAACTAGTTTAAGTGTCTCCCGACTCAGATGAGCTCATCTGTAGGGCTTTCTCTGCCTTGAAAGTTAAACGGACCAGAATTACAATTTCATAGGCTTCCTCTAGCCCAAGATTAGGCCCAAGGAGACCTCTAACGCTTCAGACCATCCAAGTCTTGCGTATGGGCGCGCCACCCCCTGTTTTGAGAAATATATGACGCGCCCGGCGCGCCCGGGCGGGCGCGCCCTTTGACGCGCCAAACGCGCCGCGCCCACCACCTGATATGTGAGGTGTTGTTAATTGAAGTATAAGACTTACACAGTTATTTGGTTATCTAATCTAAGATTCTTTCCTTTCTGATTCTTTTCTCATATGATATCGATGTCATCATTTCTTACTAAACTCATGATATCATTGCTGTGCGTATGATGTAATGCTGCGTTATGCTGTGACCTTTTCGTAGGTATAAATTGGTGTTGACTTTGTCTACTTGTTTTCCTTTTCTTCACTTTCTACCTTTACTTCGAGCAGGTAACTACTGCTCTCATCAGTCATAGAGATTATCTTCTCTACTCTAGCTAACTTAGCATTCTATCAGCTTCATAACCTACTCGCAAATTTGTTTTTGTCATAATCGGCCAAAATGAGCCTCCCGAGAGCCATAATCACTCCTTAAAGCCATATTTGTGACCCATAAGTATAGCCTAAAGCCATAATTACAACCCATAAGTACAGCCTATAGCCATACTGCCAACCCATAAAGTACACCATAAACCCATGGGTCCAAAATATATGGGAATAAACTGAAAAAAAAATGTTAAAACAAAAACCACTGGCCACATCAACTTGAAAAGTCATCTATGGCATCAACCCCCTTCAATAATGCCAAAGATGACCTTTTGGCCCTTGCTAACCCCTCCGGGCAAATGAGATGGCTCGGGTCGGCAAATTTCAAGTTTTGCGGGCGCGCGCGTGGTTGGGACTAGGTGATAACAACTGTATGAATAACTGAATTTTTGAGTTTTTTTTGTTGGTATGCTCCATAGGAGCTATCCGGGGGCCTGGCGTCTACCTCGAGGCAACGCTGCCACAATTACTTTACCAGTATCGGTATCGTAGCGGTATCGTAGTTTTTTTTGGGTATCGTATTGTCAGTATCAGTATCGCAGCCACAATACGGTACTGCCCAATCCTCCTGGCAGTATTGTGTATGGCGTTACTTTACTTAGTATTGTATTGCCCTCCGAGTACAATACTGGAATGGGCCCAAGGAAGTATCAAGTACAAAATCTCTATTGATTTTGTGTCTGGGAGTGCAATACTACAATACAGTATCAGTATCTGATCGGTATCATGACAAGATACGGTACTAGGTATTGGGCGGCACAGTATTTCCATTGCAATACTTTACTGAGTATCATATTGTGGGTACAACTACGTTACTGAGGCTCAGTTTCTCTAGTATTGTAGACCCGTTACTTTACTGGGTATTGTCGATACAATACCAGTATCGTATTTGTGGCAGTGTTGCTCGGGGTTGGCCAGCCAAATTTGTCGACCTGCCAGGTTTGACGTTTTGGTCGAATCTTGCAGGTTGACCTGGCTAGTCCCATAGACCTGAAACCAGGAGCGCGACATTGGATTTTGCAAAGGGAGAAAACCCATAAGTTTCAAGGTCAAGTACACTTCAAGTCAAGGGTACCAAACACACCAAACCCTGGTACACGCCTCGTGGCAGACATGGTCTACCTGCGGATCCGCAGGCAGACACCTCGCAAATCTACGCCAGCAAGGTCAAAGGCAGCCAAAAGGACTCTTAAAATCTCCTTGTTTGAACAGAGTAACGAGTACTACACAGTGCCCACTATCTTCAGTTTGCTCAACAAGTGAGAGCGCCAGCTCCGCAGACTCCAGAGAAGACAAAGGGCCGTGAGCGTATTCTGGCCGGTGCGCTGGACGCTGGCCATTTCACATTATTTCAAACATTTCACATATATTTCACACGGATTAATCCTCCCGTCCGCGGGTACCGTATCATGCTTTTTCTGAGACTATGTCAATAAGAACACTTATTGAACTGGAAAAAGATGTTGTATCAAAAGAACTCCTTCAGAACTTTGTGCAAATGGACTGAAAGAACAAAGAGTGCAACAAGCAATTGTGAAGAACAAAGTGTATGACCAAAGCTTAAAGTCGTAGCTATCACTGACCTGGAGGGTTTAAGAGGTAATTTAAAGGCTGGAGGGGTGACTTGGACAAATTATAGCTTTGAAGACATAAGTATGTTGATAGTATGATAGTGTGGTAGTATAAAGGATGAGGACAAACACTAAGAAATAGGAAAAAATCACAGGGCTTATATGTATACCCATTCCATCATGAATAGCTCACACAACACAGTAATGGTCAGCTAACATTTTGAATATCACACAAGAGGCAAGAGCTTCTATTCTTAGCAATGAAAAAAACATGTCAGTAGTATAACAGATAGGTCGACCGGTATAGTTACAGCCGTTGTAATATCTATCGGCAGTTTTTTGAACAAATGTGTTGTCGCCAGATTTAATTTGACAAAAACTCGACAAAAGCCTTTCAAGATTGATCAACTTTATTGTCTTTGTTTGACAAGGTTCAATACTGGACAGGTAAGTTTCACACTTTCCTCTCTCCCTATACACGCATGACTCCCTGCTGTGCCATACCAAAAGCCGGTTGATTTTTATTTTTTTATTTTTTTATTTTTGTTAACCGGACCAACACCCTCCCCCCTTTCTCTGCTCATCTCCGATCCAGTTGGAATCCATCACATTGACCAATTTTCCCACACCACACTGTCACCACGTGCATCCCCAATCACCCCTAAAGGCAAGTTGAACATCTTGACTTGTCACAGGTCCACACCACCTCACTGACCGGTTTTGATTTTGTCCTATTTCTTTGGATTCATTTTTTTTCTTCCATTTTGGTCACTTTCAATCCAATGCAACAGAAGAATCAAACCTCCATCAAAATAAAAATGTAGATCCGATTCAAGGAAATGAATTAATTTCAAACGCAGTTCAACATCTTACAACTCAAGTACCAAGACATAGATTAACGATTGAACAAGAAAAAGTCTTATTGAAAAGGTTTTCTATACAAGAATATTTAAGTAAAAGAGAAATGGAAGAACTCGCTGAGAGTTTAAAGATTCCTACTAGTCAATTGAGAACTTGGTAAGGCTTTTTGTTTTCACATATATCTTTTATATTTTTGACTTGTAAGATTTCGAATCTGATTTTGATTTTGTCTTTTCTGGTATTTTGTAGGTTTGGAAACCGGTGCTCAAAGCTCAAAGTAAGAAAACCTTCAACATGGTCTTTTTTGCACCTTCAATATCTGATATGTTTGTATTCTTTGTCATTCAAAGACAGCTGCAAGACAACCGGCTGAATTAGAAGCAGGAATGGGTCATTTGTTAGTTCAACTTTAAGATCCATGTTTTTCTTGTCCCATTACAATTGACTGATCTTGTTTGGATTCTTTGTTTTGGTTGGTATCTTTATATCTGATGCAGAACTTGGAAATTTGAATAAACGAATCAATGGAAATGATCATAAATCAAAAGCTTCTACTTCAAGATAATTTAAATTGTTTTCCCAAAAATTTCTTTTCAACAATCAAAATAGACTTTTGAAACCATTTTTATCAAGTGGTTTTTTTGCTTTTATTTCAAAAAAATATCTGTTAAGACAAATCTTTGTATCTTTCAGACCTTTTACAAAAATATACTCATACTAATAATCATCAAAAATGATCATAACCCATCATCTATATATATATCTTGGTTTCATCTTTCTTGCTTTTTTTTCTTAATTACCAATGTATCTCAAAGTGACTTTTTTCTTATTTTGTCTGAATCTCCATCAAAAATATCTATGTTTACATTTTAATATAATCATTCTACTTATCTTTATTAAGTTTTGATCTCAAAAAGTTAATCGAAATTTATTTATTGTGATCTACAAAAATATAAATTCCCGTACATCATTCTTTAGTCATTCAAATCCTAATATCATTTGAATCATCTGATGGGTTTACAAGAGAATCAGTTTGTTGGAACAAAATATTTTTTATCCAAAATCCTCCAATTCATCTTATTTATAGCCTTCTCCTACTGAGTGGAATGAAAAAAATGGCTGAATTCATTTTTGCTTTTGTATAAGTTGTGCTAAACGAAGCATTTATTTGTAAAAACAAAATCTCTCAAATCTGATATGTTGGTTTCATTGTTGGCTTCTGTTCTAGAAGTTGAAGCTTTACAAAATTGAAACATTGTGTTGTGAATTATCAATCGCACAACAAAGTGTTGATTGATTGTTGTTCAAAACAGATCACATATTTTATTCTTGTTTCACATGAATTTCGCACTATACAAGATTTTGTTAGCATAATCTTGTCACTTTGTTTCAAGTTTATTGAAAAAAAAGACACGAAGCAGATAACATACAATTACGAGTTTGTATTCGGTTAAACAATGGATAAAGCAAGAATGTTGATATGATGGATGTTATAGGAATTGTTATAGATCGAAATATGGGGAAATTTGATGAGATGATGTTGTCGCCATTATAAATGGGTTTCCGGTAATCATTTTGAAAAGAGAATAACCGGAAAGAGAGAGATGGAAAAGGGTTAGAAAGAGGAAATGCGAAAGAGTTTGTCTCTTCTTAAAAGAAGAACGATACACTTTAGTCTGAAAGTGGAAAAAAATTGTCTTTTTTTGACTTTTTGACTTCCAGAGTAAAATCCGGTCACAACACATCTGTTCAAAAATCTGCCGATAGATATTACAACGGCTGTAGCTCAAGTCCTAGGCGTCAGCTCCAACAGTGATGATGATATCATTACCTATAACAGATAGGTCAACCGGTATGGTTAGCTCAAGTCCTAGGTGTCGGCTCCAACAGTGATGATGATGTGGAAGCCGATCCCGGGACTGAGAAACTAGATATACGGCCGCCTGTACAACTAGCACGTGACCTGCTGTGGCCCAGTCGTGTACACACCATCCTACAACAAGTAGGATGCATAGAGATCAAATTGAAAAGTTTCAAATTGAGAGGTGGACCGTGTTGTGACAGGTCAAATTCCCTGCCAAACCAATCTCCAAATTCTGACCAACCCGCTTTGATCTCATAATTATTCACCGAGTGCAAACAATTGTTGTACAATTTGTTACATCACACCAACGTATATGTACATTGCTTCTCTGTGTGCTGCACTGCTGTCAAATTTTTGCAACAGCCTACAATCAGCTGAGCCTACACCACACACCACAGGGTACATAAACTTCCTTGGCCTCAGATGGTTCTGGAAGCCTGTCCAGGAATTCTGTTGAGATCACTGCAAAAATGCAGTTTCATTCACAAAATTTGTGAAGACAGTGACTGGAGCCTGGCTCTAACCTAACTAAGTCCCTCTCAGCCAGTGAGCCTGTGAGAGGGGGACTTATATCTTATGCACAAGATTTAGCACAGGAGCCCAAAATTTTGGCTGGAGACTTTTTCCAACTGCTATATCTCAATGTCTTACAACTAAATATCCTGTGGCACTAAGAAAGGTTTTGCTCATCCACTCCTTCTACACATGATGTAACTTTGAATTCTTGCATTTCAATCAGGAAAAGGTCAAGAAAGATACTTGAAAAAAACATTTTTCTGTAACATTCCAGACTGCCCACTGCAAGCCACTGACAGCTTTGACAGCTTGGTAAAAAATCTGTGAGATTTTCAAAATTTTGAAGCATATTACATCTGCAGCAATAGAGGAGAACCAAAGATGAATCAAATGGGTATGTGTAGAAGAAGCGGATGACCAAGACATTTCTTTTTGAGGTAATGAGATATAGCAGGTGGAAAAAGTCTCCAGCCAAACTTTTCCGGCTCCTGTGCCAAATTTCATGGATAAGATGTAAGTCCCTATCTTGCAGGCATGCTCACCAAGAGGGACTTGGTTAGGTTAGAGCATCCACAGTGGTGGGCTCCAAATCAGTGCTCCAAATTGAGCGAATTCAAATTTGGTGGGGCCCCAAATCAATCCAGATGCAGTCGTTTGGGCTTCAAAAGTGTACATTCTATGTGTTTACACTCACTTTGAGATTGGTGTGCGTGGGCTTACATGTGCGAGGTAGGTTTTTTTAAGTTCAGAGTTCTTCAAAAACAGCAACAAACAAACACAGGCAAATGATCACACACACTTATTGTTTCATTTATAACAACGTGCAAATGTGAAAATTTAAAAAATTTTGTTGACATGGAATAAATCCAGTGAGGCTCAAACTCAAAAAGCAAGTGGTTTGGGTAGCACGCCGCACAGACATGCACTCCAAAACCATGTCTAACCGACTGCACCACGAGACTTCCCCCGTTGGTGTGCTTTTCCCCACTACAATCACATTTTTGTATGTATTTTTTGGCCTGTCACAGGTTGCGCACCGACCACCTCTAAATTTTCAGAACGCCTCAATTGCAAGCTTTTTGCAAACGACTGCACAACAAACTTGTACACTCCACAACCTGAGAAATACTCCATTTGCAGGGATCAATCTTGCAACCTCTCTGTGCATTTCCTACCAATGATTTTGGTCTGCACCAAAAAAAAGTTGTTTGCCTTGTCCTTGTGCACAATATACAGAACTTTTTTCCCAAGGAATCACAGTGTTCTCTCCTTTGAACATGTACAAATGTTTCCATCTTCTTAACACTTGTAACATGTAGCAGCTGATAATCTGACTTGTCACTGACAAGTATCCTCTTTTGAGCAACTTTGGCACTTGTCTAAAGGAGGAGGGATTTAGATGGAGCGCATTACAGACATGGTCCTTTTTGAGAACACCAGGACTGGGGGAGATGAATCAAACATCAGACATAAGTACCTAGCCTAAAAGGGTAAGTACCTAGCTAGAGGGTATTAAATACCTAGACTATATACAAGCCTCCGGCTGAGCCCTGACTCAAAAAACATGGGTACTGCCACTGGCCTGACTGCACCCCAAATCAATAGCTCAAGACCCCCCCACACACAAAACCAACCCTAACCCAATTAAGCCCTGTTGGAAAGACAGTGAATCAGTTTCTATCTTTCATCATAGTGACAATCCTGACATTAGAAGTTATATTAGAAATTCCAGTAGATCCTATTCAAGCCTCATCTTTGTGCTCATTCTTATTTTTCTCACTTTAACATTTCCTCTGATAAACTTAGGTATTTATGTATTAGGTCTTACTTCAAACTTATAGTCCTTACTTAACCTGTTCAGTAACTTTGTGGTTGTACTCTTTTCATATTCTTAGGTTAGTTTCCCAAGTCTGCATACTTGAGGATAGGAGAAGCTGTGCTCACCATTCGCACAGAACTGTCAGGTCATGGTGTCCTTAGCCATCTACAAGTGACTTGATTCTAATTCAATTATATTTATTGTTCTGGCTTTGCTAGCTTGATTCCCAATATAATAAGATCCAAAAATATGTTATGATCTATTTTCACAGATTGGAAAAGAAGATGAAGGAATGTAGCCAAAGTCCTTTCCTATTGATTAGAGCATCCCCAACGCGGACCTGTTCTGAAAACCAAATACAGACCCAAAAAAAGATTGCTGGAAAAATTATGACAGCTGGATTTCATTTTCAGCTTTGTTGCATCCAACGCGCACATGAGGTAGAAATTTTTGAGTCATTTTGAGCTGCCCAAGTTGCCAAACCCTCACCTCATCCAACCACCAAATAGCCATCAATTGGTTGGACAATGAGAAGATAGGACACATGTGCCAAATGCCTGTCCAATACTCGGCCAATACAGCTTGCTGTAAAAGTTCAGTTGGTATTTCATATTTGGAGTACCGACCATGTGAAAGGCATTTTGCTGAAGATTCAAACTCACACACATGGTGAGCTGTCAACTATTCAGACCACACTGGATGGTTGTTTTGTGACCACACCGCCAACATATTTATCCGAGGTATTATCGGATCACCAACCTCCGACAGAAGCTGTCCGAGGTTTTGATCCGAGGCAATTCCCAGCGCAGAAGATTACCTCGGACAAAAACCTCGGACAGACCTTGTCCGAGGTTTTACCTCCAATGATGCCTCGGATTCCGCAACCCGAGGCATCTATGTTGGCAGTGCCAAGGCCAGTAAATGTAACATACAGCTTACGTGTGTGAGGGTAGTGACTCTTTTGAAGGAGGCTACACTCACTAAAAGGTGGCACTGGGAGTAGTTTAAGATGAAGTATAATAAGTATTATTATATTTCAGTTGTTAAACTAGGTACAAAGGAAGGAGAGGATGATGAGAAAGGGTAAGATAGGATGGGAGGTTAACAACTAAGAGTCTGCTGGGACAAATCCTGGCAGAGTACAGTTAGTTGACTCTTAAAGAAGAGGTTTTGATTTATAAGTTACTATAACAATGAAAACTGGATCCCAAAGTTCTCCAGTATCCTTTCAGTAACAGGATCAAGAGTGATTATGAAGATCACTATCTCGGTTATCTCTTGGAGGTCACCAACCTAATTGGTTATTGTCTTAGAGGT